TAGCTCTCTACTAACTCGTACAGCGTTCATCGTGTTAGGAAGCTCAAATGAATTTAAGTTGTATAGTGTCGTATCAAGTCCAAAGGTCAATTTTTTCATTTTTCTGTTTTTCATCCATTATTATCATTTTCTTCACCTTTTTTCAGTGTACACTGTTCACCAACTCGTAGAAGATGTCTTCTTGAAAAAAAAATTTTGTCAGCGGAGTAAGTTCAGGTCCCTGACCCTATGTAACCCAATGAAATAGTTTACACTGCTGAAAAACTGCGTCTAGTTAATGCTATGGTGGCTAAAGTGAAAAAATGTTCCCGAGGTCTTGGCTAAGCAGCAATTTATTCACCACAGCTTTGTGAATTCGTTCATCAGGAACTCAAATCAAGGGCGATACGATTGTGGGAAATGGATGCCATCTTAGAATAAGAGGCATTGAGCGAATTTTTTTAATGTCAAGACTTTCTGGATCTAATCGGGGATGACTAAAAGTGAAGGAAGTAAGAAACTACGATTACCCAGGAACGAGAGGGTGTGAGCCCGGAGACAATCACGAGCATGTCAGCGGGTTGAAGTAAGCATTCTTTAATTCATTTCTTGTGGAAGCAATGAGGAACAACTTGATCACTTCAAAATACGCTTTGGGAAAATAAGATTAGAAAGCTTTTCGTTTTCGAATTGAGACCTTGGTCATAAATTCAAATATTCCACATTAAAAAAAATGTTGGGTAAATTATTGATATCCTTGAAACTTTGGTCACGATGTCAAACAGAGACAAAGTCTAAGCTTTATCCTCGCAAACACTTTAAGGACTGATTTCTACTATCTTTTCAATCTGGAGACATTTTGTATGTACGAGGTTAACAATCTTGTAATATTTCAGCCAGAAAACTCAAAAGAAAAGTTAAATAAAAATATGCGTGCAAAGTAAGCTTAGAACATGCAAAACAACAAGAGTGAAATAGCCTTTGATACACTAAGCCAAACATCCCACGTCTAAGTTTTTCTAAGTAAAAGAGCTTTGTCCGTGTTTTGTGCATCTAAGGAATGTTGTAGATCGATCCAAATTATTAAAGATCGATCATTTTAATCATATCGTAGAGTCGTAATTTAGTATAAGTCTTATGATAGGGTTTAATTAAAATCGGAAGAATCTTAGGAAAGGGAAACTTTTTTCAGATTGAATTTTTGGCAAACTCTTTTTATCACAGGCTACAAACGCAGACGAAGGAATAACAGAATCGCAAACTAAACCATTCACACCCCACGACTTTCTGTTTATATAACTAAATCGAGGAACACCATAGAACTTCGATCGTGAAGTCAGACAGGGAAGCTGATGCTTTTGCCTAATTAAACACTTTCCAAGCGATGTATCTATCTGTATTTATAAATAATCTCGAGCTAAAGAAGCAACGATGATTCTCCTCATCAAAATGTCGAGTTTCGTTCTTTTAAACATGATTCGCACGTTTGTTCCGCAGAAGTATCAAAGGGGTGGCAAGCCTGAGAGAAAACAATCATGTCCAATTATTTTCTCTTGGGGCTGGTTATTTACCTGAAGTTTAACTTATGGCATGGTTCTAAACAATAAAAAGATTGAGATATCTTTTTTTCAGGTTTTTTTTACACAACTCTAACACTCCGCGATAAGCGACGACGAAAACGAAAGAAAATTTACAGTAATCTTGGTAGCCTTAACAGAAAACTGTTTACAGGGAAAGAGAAAAATTATAATAGATTATAAATTAAATGTTTACACCTTGTTTTAGCAGATGATGTGTATTCGCTTGTTTCTCAAGAGCCGCCAGTGGGGGGAAAAGGAAACAGTGATTTCGTGGCTCACTTGAAATAGGATTTTGTTGAGGTAGTAGGTCCATTTGGGTAGTCCATGGATTGGTAGCATTAGAATATTAACGGTATTCTCGTGCCAGGGGTTAGTGTTTTGTCTATCACCCTCTTCACAGGGTGGGTTTTCAATTATTTTTTCTACACGACTCTAAGACATTAGAATAACAACTGTATTCTCTTGCCAGGGGTTAATGTTTTGTCTATCACCCTCTTCAAGTCGTTCAAAAAATGAATGCATGACGTACAATGAAAAATTTTGGCCACATTTAGATCAATTTAGAACGCGGTTCTACCAAAGTCTGAATTGATTTCTTGAAATGAGTTTTGTTCGTTGTCTAGCTCAAGGTAAGGTCAACAGTTTCGTTCTATACTGTAGATCTGTTGTTCATATCGCGCAGTGCGAAGGAGAATAATTTTGAATTCTCTGTTTTATGCGGAATTCTTTATTTATTATGACCGTGAAAATGCGAAGCAAAAGTCTTGGCACGCTCTAATACTTTTTAAATTTTTTTTATAACTTTCATTCATATCCTCCTCTCCTCCACCTCCATGTTGCCAGCATGGTGTTATTTATTAAAAAAACAATGGTCATTTATTTTTTTTTAACATTGTTTGGGGGAAAGCGGGAACTTTCAAGTAACTTATTTAAGATGAATCACAACATTTCTGTTTAATTTGTTGCGAGAAGGTTGTAGACCACCCACAAAAATAATGGACCTTATTCGCCCGTGAGACCCATTAGTAAGGGGAGGTTACTAATTATACTTTAGCTACTCATTGTGGATCTTACTTGAATGTAGACTTTGATTGATTTTGCTTGTGAATAGTGGGCGCTGAGTATCGCAGTTTTACTTGTTTGTTTTTGCCTTGAGTGTTTTTTTCTTCTTGTTTTTCTTTGAATATGGTTGTGTTCTTTCAGGCCTGGGTTTTTAGTTTGGAAAAAAGCTCCAATGTTCCAATTCGCCTTACTGCAGATATGGGATGGGTAGAGGTAAAGAGTCCTCTGTGAGTTCTTCTTCGCGACCAAGGGTTAGCGTTAGGAGAGGCATCAAGGTCAGACTAAGGCGGCCATGAAAACTCAACAAATTTTATATTCGATTGAGGTGACTGCATTTGTTTGCTGTGCTTGGATCGAAGCTCTATATTTTGGGAATCTCTCGAAGGAACGTATAGAACACGTGAAACGAATTCTTTTCATTAAGGTTTACTCTAAGGGAAATACATGCCATGTTTTGTGTGGAAAGGTTGTTAATAAACTTTCTGGGGCAAAAGGATGAAACGATTGTAAACCAACATTTCTCTAAGACCCAGTGGTATTTCCTTTGCTGGACTATTATGTTAGGTATCGAAAAATAATGTATTAAACATTAAAACAAGATACTGTGTTTATTTAAAACATGAAGGTACTTATTGAACGGCACCAACATCGTTCAGCGTGCATCGCGAAAATAGTCGGTGTGAACAGCGGACGCATTAAACAATATCAATGACGTGAACCTCAATGCTAACATGGATAAGTTTTTATTACAGTAGTAATATCATAACTATGGAGAGCCTCACTGTCTCTGTTCCACTTAGACTCTCCAGTGACCTCAGACAAAATATATTTACAGTTTTATTATCTCGGAAATGCTTTAGGACCCATTACATGATATCTCTTGTAGAGCTGAGCCAAGATTATAAAATTGCCGTTCGCTTAATATAATTGAATCATGAGAGAACTTTATGGGATAGTGTCACGGTTGGGCGTGCGTGGATTTGCCCACCACTTCTTTGATTATTTTGAAACCGTCCACCGTCTTGAGTATTTATGAAGTCTTCATGAAAAAAAACAGATGAATGGATCTACCGTTACACTAATTATTTCCCTGATTGTCTTCTTTTCAATTTAAACCTCAAAAGCCAGTTTTTACATGCTTAAAACTATTGACAGAAGTGAATACAAAAAAAAATTGAGATACCGATCAAAGATTATATTTTTTTCCCAAAACACCGTTAAATCTTTACAAGATTGTTAAGTAATTACACACAAGTCGCTCATATATTAAACACATGAAATCGTTCTAAGGAGAGGATATAACTAACCAGATTATCATCATTTATGGCAGGGTCAGAGCTTAACATCCTTGTTTCTTATTAAAAACGTACAAAAAAAACAGGATTGAATATTTAAATCAACTACCTATCTGTGATCCTCTAAAAACAAGAAGATAATTTCGACTGGTGTTGTATTCCATACACGATTAGAGATTAATCTGTGCTACGTATTATTCTAGAAGTTTCTTGTTGCTGATTGTGTTGATAAAATCATTTTCCTCTCTCAGTGCTGAATTTGTTTCGTTTTACAATGTTGTCGTCATCTCTTAGCACTGATTTTTCGTCCGTAGGACGAAAACTTCGCTAAGAACCGTTGCAACTTCTCGCTAGCAGTCTTCATACCCTGAGATTAATCCAGTGAGCTCGACATTATTCTATGGAAAAAGAAGGACTCATGTAATCCTGTCTAATTCTATGAACTTCAAGATGTTTACTTTGTATCAAACTCATCTTCCATTAATGACCCTGATTTGGGGATGAAAATGCTGTTTGAAAAAAGAGTAAAAGAAATAAATAAAGTTAGTTTTCGACTTATAATGTCGAAAGTGGCAGTGGCCACTTTTTCACTTATCAGAATTTTGAGAGTAAACATTGCCACCTTTTCACTATTGCCGTTTATTTAAGGTTAGATTGGTAATTCGAGAAAATAGCAAAAGATCATCATAAACCTCCCCTCAATTGAAAGAAGTTTTGGGAAATTGCCATCAAGAATTAGCAATGAAGCCATCAACCACTTTAAGAGGGTAATTTAGTATTAGCAACTCAGTTAATAACGTAAATTTGCCACCGCTAAGAGTTATAATAGTAATAATAATTTATTTACTTATGTTGCGCGTGTTACATATGCAGATGCTCACAAAGTTTCAAAGCTGACGTTTTATGGCCCTTTTTCGGAGCGAATGAAGAAGCGCTTGCGCTCGAAACGTCAGCTTTGAAACTCTTTCCTGTGGCCAATTTACGATATCAACTCAGCTGATAACACTAAATTACCCTGTTATACTTTTCCACCGACACTGCACTACATTTTGTTTAGAAACTTACCCCCTTTATTCATTGGAATTTACTCAAACTGCTTACCTTTTCTTTTCAACTTTTTGTTTCTCCTGTTTTTTTTTCGTCCAGAACTTTTCACTGCTAGACGTCTTTCCCACTTTCTGAATTTTTCCACCCAAGCTCTCTCCCAAGGGACGATCAAACCCGTATCACGAAACAAGTAGAGTTTGTGCTGTTCAGCAACCACGTGACCGGCCACTAAGAAAGAGGCGTCTACCTTGGGAACCTGTGGACAGTTGCATGTGGTATTCCTGTGCAGGTAAATAGAGTCTCCCTTCCTCAAGTGAATAGAGCTTTTTTGTAGGATCCTCTCAATTTTTCCCTCTATTACTCCGCCATTGTCCTTCTCTGTAGTTGAGGTGATGAATACTTTTAGGACTGTGGACGGAATGCACATAAATTAAAGTAGCAGTTAGATGCTGTGTCGTAAATTTTTCATACTAAGAAACAAAAAAGACTCGTTATTAAAACAAAAGGGGGTCTTAATGGGGTAATGGCCTTTACTGGTAAAGGTTAAACTTTTTGCCAATTTACGGCCAATAGTTTGTAGCATTACATCTTTGTCACCAGAAATTTTTTTACGGTTATTTTTTTTTCTACGACTAGCGGTTAAAATTTGTTAATTTGTTAATTGGGCCATTTTACGGCTAACGGTTAACCTCATTAAATCGTTATTAAAAGGCTACACTGATGTAGATACAAAGTTCTTTGTGATTTCTTTATCGACTTATTACCCAAACAATTATCCACTCGTAGAACTCGGTGCAAGTAAACCGTTTGTTCTTACTGGCATTAATGAGTAAATCAGAGAATCCTGTACAATAGCGATAGAATTGTATGCCTATTTGAATGCTTATAGGATATGTCTGTGAAAAATAAATTTAATAATCATAATCGTAATAATAAATATCAAGCATGATGATTATGATAATAATCTTTATTAATGATAACTAGACGCACGTATGCGTGTACCCCGACACCCCTGTGATGGTAAATGTAGGCTCATTCTTTTTTTAACCCTTTAACACCTAAGAGTGACTATCATCTAGTTTTTCCCAACAATATCACCCCTGAATCACACATAAAGGTTACGACAATAAAAGACATGATCACCAACTAAAGATACTCTTGATTGTTGGACAAATTCTTCATGTCACTACCTTGAAAAATGTACCGAGAACAGTATGGAAAATACGCATACTGATCTTAGGGCGTAAAGAGTTAATATGGTTTTCACATTTATTTTATATAAACATTTTAAAGGACCTGTGTAAAGCATTTAAAAAGTATGTAATATATGTGTTAACGCTTTCACACAGTTTCTTTACGTGCGTTTAAACTTGACCTTGCAACCTTTTTGTTAAAAAAAAAAATGCATGCACATCGATGATCGTGAGCACGAATAAAGCCAGATTCTGAAGTGAGGCCTCCAACGTAGCACCTTAGTAGAAATATCATGAAAAAGTGGGTCCGGTCTCATCTGTGTGATAACAGGTATCATTCTGTGCGTAAAACCCTGAATTGTTTTCGCTAGATACTTCAATGACTGTTTCAAAGACGTGTGCCGTACATGCGGGCCAAATAATTCAACAGCTTAGGAATGCAAACCAAAACAACTTACTGAAATGGTAAGAATTCCTTTTATACCGCTGGTAGTTTACACGAGGCTTGATGCATCTGCAGGATGACACTGCAACACAAACGGTGAAGATAATCAAAAGATAAGTTTGTATTTAAGACAACAAGATTCAAAAGAAAAAAAAATGCAATTGATACTATTTCAAAAGATGTATGGCCCGCAGAGAAACAACGAAGCGTCATAGTTTACAGAGTTTTATTGCTGATCAAGTTATTTCAAATGTTTCGAGGTTTTCTCACTTTGTCAATTATTTAAAACATCGTTCTCCTAAGCCTTTCGGAAAGTACTGCTGCCATTGTCCATGTCGCGCCGTCGTCGCGCCGTATGACCATTACGGTCATAAATCGGAGACGGTTTTTGAGAGATGTCGACTCAAAATTCATTCAAGTGAGAGAGAAGTTACCGAAACGAATGATTTCATTTTAAGTCTAATTCATGGTCTTTCTCTGGAAAGTCAGTTACGCAACCCTTTTCCCTTCGCGTCCACAATGGGACCTCAAATACGACAACGGCGGGCGTGTACGACTGCGATCGGGAACTGAGGTAACGGGGAGAGGAAACCGTCGCCAATGGCGAAAAATAGGATTTCACGGCTGCAGAGGAAGCGAAGGGACGGGTGGGACGGGTTGATTTCATCTTCAATCTTTCGTTGAACGACGCAGCACTGTGAAGGTGTCATCTTGTACAGCATCTCATCGCTTACGTGCCTATCGGTTTGTTTTGCGTTGTTTGTTGTTGTTGTTGTTGTTGCAATTGTCTTTTTTCAAAATTAGATTCTGATAGTTTCATACCATATTAAGGTTTATGATGATATCAACACACTGATACAGTGTGCTGCAACTCATCTTTGATCTTTTCTTCAATTTCACAAATCAATTCAGGGTACTTAAGATGGCTACCCTTAGAAATCAGTTATTGGTCACTTTGGGTTAGCACAGCATTAACTTATCTCTTAATCAATACCTGAGAGCTAAGCTGATATATATATATTCCTTATACGATATTTTGATTGGTCGAGAAAACCAAATACCACTTGAGTATTTCAACTTCAATTACAGCTCTAGCATTGATACCACTTACTTGAGGCATGCTGTTATATTTTTTTTTTGTAACTAATTCCGCAGCTACGTTTTAGCAACGAGGTGTCTCATCTAAATTTCAAACAGATCTATTTCGAAATACTCGATTTTGTTCAAGATCGTTCGCAGTAACCCCTAAAATATGACAATAATATTACTTAGGTAATAATGCTCTTATAACATATGAATGAAATAATATTGTGGATCAGCCTCTGACTAATCTTTTACACGCAATCTGCGGTTGAGGCACTCTCCATTATACGGTTGACTTGGTGTATCTCAATACTTTCAGGCGAACCTTTCGCGTTTGCGTATACTTCAAAGCTCCTATCAGCATAATCAACGTGTTTCTAGCCAAGTGGCTGTCGATATTTTACTTATTTTCTTAAGCAATAATCAACGCAGCGTTTGCTGTCGAAATCGCGTGACGAAGTAAAAAAGAAATACGCATGAAGACTAATGCACTGCCTGTTGTTGTTTACTTTAACTATGTTAAGAATAAAGCAAGTTATCGAGGGCTTCTCACCAAAAATAAACTTCGGTTTTCTTTCATGTTCTGTGGCCGGCGTTTAAACAGTTTTCCTTTAAAAGGCATCCCAATAAGTGCAGTCTATTAAGCAAATTAAATTATCGCAAAAATTTTAGGAATGTTGTAGGCAAGTTTTAATAACTGTAATAATCGGTTTACGGCAATTTACTCTGAAAGGAGCTTCATTTTCTAGAGCCGAGGTAATATCTTTTCAATGTTACACCAAAGTAAAAGAAAAATTCTGGAGTGAGATTGATGGACGAAAAGAATTGGCGGCAAATCGAAAGAAAACGGCACTCATAACGAGGCTTTCTCTCTACAAGTAAAACTAAACATTACATAATCTCCTGAACGGAAAGAAGACAAAGAAAATACTTCAAAACAGACAGTAACATGATTTAGTTTTAAGTTGGTCTTGCCATAGAGACAGGGTTCGAATAAAATAAAACCCTACGGTATGGAATTCGCGCGCTGTGTCCGAAATAATCCTTCAGTATTCAGTAAATTAGTTTTGGACTGGACCTGCGGAAAGACTTGATAGGCCTCTTGAATACCTCTCGCACCCGCAAAAAACTTGGAATATATTTAGGCTTAACTCTAATAAAAAACCAAACAAAGGAAAAAGCAGTTCTAAAAATGTAGTACATGTTCATTTAGTACATTGTGATTCCTTTGCAACTTCCCTCTTTGGTTCCGATTTCGATAGCAGTGTCTTAAGTTTTTAAAGGAATAGGAGACTAAACTATTTGTCCGCATTGTACTCTTTACCAGATATTGGGATCGGCAAGCAAACTTTCACACGTTTCTTAACTTCGTGTTAGATTTTTTAAATGGATTTCAATCATTTCCTGTCTGCCCTATGAACTCTGGGAGGGAGAGCTTCTGAAGAGCTGCTATGTCAAGGATATAATGAATATGATATGATTTAAAGGAATCACGCAATTCCTGTGGGCTTTTGAAAAAGAAGTCATATGTTCGTAAACTCTGCTGGCTTAATAACTACATTGCTGAACCTAAATGCAGCAGTCTAATATCACTGCAAAAGTAAAAATTTATTAATAGAAACTGAAAATATTTTTAGAACTTTTTATGACACGGTTTTGGTATTCAAGAACACAACATAATTTTGACCTTTCCATCGTTAGAGACAATTTTTTGGTTGTTATCGACGATGTTCACAAATGTTTACAATTCAAGTAGAAAGATAGAGAAATATTTCAACTACGAAAGCCATACGCGAGCTCGAGAGGCATAGTCAAATGATGCACTCCAAAACTTCGGAGAAAAATCAATGGACAGATATGAATGGTTGACAAGTCTTTACCTACAAATAAATCACACTCGGATTAAGAGACTGCAAGCATTCTTTCGTATTCGTGAAGTTGGAGTCACAGCAAATTAAAGGAACGTGACCACAAATTTGTTTGGCAGTTTGAATATTTATCACCAAGAAAAGTGTAATTTCCTGTGAATTAATAGGAAAGTCAGCTGTGTTGACATAGGATTCTATGCCTGTACGATTCCTAAATTTTATGAGTTTTTTAATTTGGTCATATTTTATTTGAATCGAATTTACAAATTAAAACCCGGTTATCTTAATTCATGGATAGAAGCAACTCACAGGCTGGATATTAAAAGAAACGGACGAATGATAATTGAAAGTTACAAGGCTTGGTTAATCTAGTTTAATTAAAGCTTTGAAAAATCCGCCAACCCAGTCAGAAACAACAAAAGTTGACAGTCAATCAAATGTTTGAAATTTCATTTAACCAACCTCATATAGGGTCAGTTTACGTGGCGTAAAAGTAGCCTAAAGATCGGTTTCAGAGAAGCGCATGAAAAAAAAGTAACCCATGACCTGTAGAGTGAGTCGCCGTTTATAAGAACATTTTTGAATAAAGCAACGCCATATTTCGTAACTTTGTACACTAGATAAACATTTAAGGAATTTGAGACTCTTAACGTTAACTGCATGATCATTCCTTTCAAGCCCTTAAATCCGAAGGACTGGCGACAAAGGAGTATATTTGTCGTTTTGCGAGATCAAACGCTTAATGGACCTCTTAGTGTAAATGAACAGTGAATAATCCTGATGAATTTTTAAGACGAACGATTTAATTAAGAAGCAAATAATGCAGCCTTGATTTTACTTACCAGATTTAACAAAGGACTCAGGCTTGATGCAAACGTCGCTTTCATAGGATGGCAGGTCCTTACAAACGACGTCGGGGGGCCACTCCCGGTTGTATTTTCGGATGGTAGGCATACACTCTCTCATGACCTTTTTGCAAACTGATCTGCACGGACGAATTGGCCTGGATTTAAACTCTGGTGCACAGATGGGTAGGTGATAGGCACAGAGGAAAAATCCTGCATCAGCCGAACAGTTGATAGCGACGATGTCACTGTATAGCTCAATCCTTTGCCTGCTGTATTGTTGCGTGAGATGTTCAAGCGCATTAGGAAACATTGTCATGTTGTACGGCAAGTGTTTCTGGCAAATTGGAATCTTGATGGGCTCACATGTTCGGCCTGCCAATGTGATTACAATATCAAGGCAAAACACGACAGTTCCCATCAAAAGATACATCTTGTTGCTTGTACTTTCGTTGTGAAATTAAATTATCACGGCCAACGTGCTGTTTAAATAATGGACTTATATTGGCCCAGCGCACACTTGCCCCTTTATCAAGGAAATTGATTGTATCATTCGCTATTATTAATACTTGCAAGAGGACAGCACCGCCCAGTTGAGCAGGTCTCTTTAAAACGTCCTGAAGGACAAAGTATTAATTGAACCGGGCGATTTGGTAAGACCACGCACTTAATTGCCGACAGTTAACACGTTCCGCGGTGTTTATAAACAACGAGCTTGACCCGTCTCATTTGAACAAACTGTGTTCCGTGATCTGCTAATGCATGTTGACGGCGTTAAGCTTTGATGTAACCTTGTAGGCTAGCGTCGCCAAAATTTTAGAGATATTAAAGGATAAGCTTGGTTGTATTTATTATATTTGTCAATTCTTTGACCCCGAGTATTCTTGAAAGTTATTTAGCGTTTTATATCGCATAAAACGCTTCTAAGTGTCATTGTTTTGACGAGAATCAGTCACTTGTACGGGCGGGACAAATATTCAGACAAAGTGTCTTTTTCTTAGTCCTATCCAGTTATGTCTGGAATAAATTTATTCTGTAAAACAGAGAATTTTTCTCTCTTCAACTTTCTTAGCTGTGTCATTATTCAGAAATGCTTACACCATCCAGATATAGAGTAATTGAATGGTAAATATGGCGTCAAAATTTGGCGGGAAAATCACGGCATTCCCTGTTGCAGCGTCGTTTATTGCCAGATGGCGGGAAATAAGCGGACGTAGCTTACGTGTCTTCAATTTCCCGGTTCCTGAATAATTCATTCGTAGCATAGATAACTTCTTAATACTCTATCTTAGGCAAACATTTGGGGTTTCCGGTCATGCCTAAGAACATGCAAAGCATTTCCAAGCGAATAATCAATATAGGCTTCCTTTTGGAAGACATTTCAATTCATGTCATGCATGATAAATCGCGTGTAAGGCTTTATGACGTCACCTAAAAATTAATCTCAATAAAGTTTTGCACGCTATTTTGACTGTACATTTATTCTCACCGCTAATATTTCTGAAAACACTACAAAGAAATCTGTTAGGGAAATATGAGCACTCATATTTTATTTGATCAAAGCTAAGGGTTTTTAACAGAAAAACTTTGAGAGTATGACCATAGATTAAAGAAACAGAGGAGAGAATGCGTTGTAAAAATCCAGAAAGTAATTGATACAGACAAAACGCTCTTATTTCAATTGCATTCCTGCATGCAATCCTGCCTCGGAGTAAATTGTGATGATTCACGCTTTAAAATCCAGAAGTACTTAGCGAAACAACCATCCGTTTTTACATGCTTGGACTTAAAAGTGTTCCGTCGTAAGTTACACTCAGTTGTCTACTATGATGGCAGTGATATAAATTCGTATTGCTTTAAATACGACCAATATAGACTAACAGTTTTGAAAGCCTTTTTATTCTCCTAAACTTTGTCGGGGATTCTTAAAATAGATTTATTAGCGTGCGAACCTGTCCAGCTCTATTTTGGAACTTGGTAAGAGATGTTCGTGCGTCAGCGCTGTTATTATGTCGAATTGCCCCTAATGAAAATGAATTTTTGTTTATCTCTTCAAGTCACTTGATTAAAACTGACAGCGTCTATTGATAAGTTCAACTTCGTGGTGCCGTCAGAGATGACTTCAATGATTAATCAAATGCCGAAATGTACTTCTGAAGTAGCAAATGAGGTTTGAATGGACCGATGGTAATAATATGTATTATATAATCTAAAACAGACGAGGGATAGTTTTCATTCATGAGTCTCTCAGGATGATTAAATGATTTATTTCGCAGTTTGAATTTAATCTGTTAATTGTTTAGTGCTTTTCGTACCGAAGCAAATAAAGGGAAAGAGTTCGTCATAAACACAAGCCTATGAAAAAAAATATTTTCATGACATTACAGTCGTCATAGAAAGTCTTGTTTATACAAAAGCACAATCTTGAAGATGACAGCATGTAAAGAGCAGTTCCAATCGTTGTTTACATGGAAACAACATTTATTTTCCAGGATTTTGCAATTTTAGCAAAACGTAAGTTGTGCAGGCAATGGCCATTACTCTGTGGGCATAGATTTTTTGAGTGTTTATCTATACGTACATCTTCGTTTGTTATGAAAGGAGCAATCTCCTGATCAGTCTTCCTCGTGCACATATCTTAACCCTCTTGAAAATCTTTCTGCGTCAGGCTGAATTATTTTTTCACACATTCAAACGTTTTAACTTTTTAGACTTTCTCGGGAAACTTGAAACAATATTGTTTATCCCGTTTAATAAACTGTTGTAGGATTCAGGTAAGACAATTGTTTTTGTTATTCCGTATGGATTTCCATGCGTTAATCGTGTGAGGCGTTTATATCAAAAAATGTATTGACCTGACAGATATTAACCTTTCTCACACAATTTAACAGTTTTTTTTCAGTTCTGCTAAATGGCGTAGATGATATTCGAAAATACTTACGGATGGAAAGTATCTGAGGTATTCAGTAAGTAGTCTAATATGACTTATGAATACTAAGCATTTAAATATCGAGTAATTTTCGATGCAAATCGGCTTTAAACCATTGTAAGTTTGTTTTTCGCATTCGGGCCCAAAAAAAATTGTATTGAATCGAAACACTTGACCGCAATAAAAAAAATTAACGAATTAAAGAACCAGGCCATAAATCTTCCATAATCAAATTAAAGATATGAGCAATAACTACTTTTAGTTAGTCATGCAAAAGATCAAGTTACTATCACGCACATGAATATTCGACTTATATGTACATCAATAATGGATACATGGCCGATTTGAGTCCAATTCGAATTTTTACTAACAACTGTTATGCCCAACTAGCTTTGATATCATTTGTCATTTACAATACTTAACAAAAAAATTAGCTTCGAAACTATGTACTAAACAAATCTCAATTAATTGACTAAGTGGCCTGCTGATCACCCAGACGAAGTGATTTAGACTACGCGCTCGTCTGTTACTCCTGGGCTCACGGCATCGTAAATTTCAACCGAAAAGTCACGAGATTCGAAAATAAAAGGGATCAGGAAGTTTCATACCAGGTCAACTGCTTACTTTTGGCTACTGATCTTTAAAATTCTTTTGTCTAAATGTCCGAATCGTGAAAACCGCTAGAATCAAAGATAAAAAGTATATCAGATTCTTTCCTCAATTATTCTCCCAATGATATTCAAGGTGCCCCGACAAACAATGCAGTACTGGATGCATGGACGTCTCTCCCATAGAATAACGTGAGGGAATGCAGAAAGACGAGAAATTTTTGGTTAAGCCATTTGTGTGTTTGTTTGATTAATCTGTATTGCCAAGAAGTATTTCTACCGATTAACGTTACGTTTCGTAAGAAAAGACAAACAAAACCTTGACTTAAGTTGAAATAAAAAATTGTGGACTGTTTGTTATCTCAGCCTTGAGTCAAGTACCTGCGCAAAATAAATACTCTGTATGTGGCAAAAGAGAAAAAAATAACGTGATCAATCTTTATTTATGTATTAAGGAGGTAAGTTTCTAAAGAAACTATGGTGCTGCGTCGGTGGGAGAGTATAGCAGGTAATTTAGTGTCAACAACTGAGTTGAAAACGTGAATTAGTCAGCGTAAAGGGTAAAAAAGCTGACGTTTCGAGCGTTAGCCCTTCGATTGTATTATTTCGTTTCTTTGAAGCTTCTTGTCGGTTTCTTTGTTGTATTTTTTTTTTCCTATTTGATTATTGTTTGCATTTTTTGTCGTTGTCCGTTTGTTTTTATCGTTGCAAGTTCTTTTATGTGACAACCTCTCCATGTGTCTGTCCTCCCCCGTCACTTTTCAGCTCCCTACCCTACCCTGCTTGCGCGCCCAAATCTACAAAGCGTTCAACTCCTGTTGCTTGAGAGCCTGGGTCGAGTTCTTGATTAGAAAGCAAGATGGCGGACAAGCTAGGCTAAAGGCGTCTGTTACCAGCAAGTTCAGGTGTAGACGAAATGTACCCTCTCCTGGCTCAGAAACTTGGTTGTTCTTCTTTGAGAAGTTATTTAGTCTGTTTAACTCCAAGGAATTTCATCGCGTACAGGTATCAACCGCTGCAAAAGCTGAAAGAACACTTTTTTTGTATTTAAGGCTCAGTGTAAGTTCTTGAAGCTTACCCATCGTTGTATTGGGCTAGCTGCGAACGATTCCTGCTTGCTTTCAGCTTTTGCGTTTGGTTTATCATTATAATCTAAAATGTGTACTTTTGTGTTGCATACAGTGATCATTTCATTTACATTTTGAGATAATAACTATGACACACCCCCTTAATATCCGTCTCATTTTTTAATTTTGTCTTAGGGGAGAGGAATAGAAGATTCTCCCCGAACATTCACCCTTCCCCCCACTAAATAGCCCAGTCTTCAGAGTACAATAGAACTTAACAAGATCTTGAGCGAGTCATTTTTGTCTGTGTGCAAATGCAAGCAATTCATGGTTGCAGTATTGATTAGTTCTGCATGCAACAAACAATGCTCTAATTCTGGTGAGGCCATTAGGGAGGTTCTGAGTTTGCTGTATCCTTTTAATTTTTGTTCTAAATATCCCATATTCTGTTAATTCGTGTGTTTTGTAGGTCCAGTCCAATATCACTGAATCTCTATTTTAAATATTCCCAATCCCATTAATTTTTTCCATAAATATCCTGTATACCCAAGTATTATGTATCTGATAACCCCTAAGAGGGCCTTTCTGTCGGCACAATCAGCATAGAGAGAAAACATGTATACTTGACATACTCTAGTAAGAGTGCCTTCACTGGTGGTCTGAAATGGTGTAATCAAAACTTTATTCAATACTCATAAAAAAGACCTATGTACAGTGCTTCACTTAAAAAGAATTAAATTTGTACCTTAACATCTGTTAGAAAGAAAAAAAAAATCATAATGTCTCAATATCTCTTGAACTATAATCCACGAAAATGTTTCTCTACTAATTATTATTACTATTACTATTAGCAATCACTACCAATATTTAACATCTTTTCACTAATTCCTCTTTAAAATCTGCCAACAACGATAAAAACATTAAATAGTAGTAATAAATAAAATGCAATATTCAATATCTTTTCTCTAAATAAAAATGGTGTTAATAATAATAATAATAATAGGTCATTTATAATGCGCTAATTCCATAAAATGTTCAAATGCACATGACAAGATTAAAAAACAAAATGAAAAGGCTAAAAAGATAAAATTACAATTAAGAGTAAACTTACAATAATTTAAAAAGCTAAGATTACAATTGAAAGTAAACTCACAATAATAAAAACAATTCCAGGGCTTGCCTTCAAATTTCACTCAAAATTTTATAAGTCCATCATTTTCCAGACCTTAGTTTTTTTTGCTCATACTTGTTGTTCAGTCATCTGGGAGGTTCTGGCTGGTTTAAAATTTTCCTTTCAAACTTCCCATACCATTGCAACAGTTTTTTCATTTTTTGAGCAATGTAATTCTCTTCTATTTATAGGAGTAACAGACTAACAGTTCTTAGGGAACATCAAATCTCAAAAATCATCACAAAAAGTGCTTCAAAATATACTGCAGAGGCATTCAGATGGAGAACTTTGCATGTCTGGAAATTATTAGAACAGAGATCAAATTCTTATGCCCATCCCTGGTATCTTCTCAAGTATACTGGACTCTTAGCTGTTGGAACTTTAGTTGTCAGATCAAAGATTTCTAGTGCCTCCTGTGGGCCGAAGTTGAGTCACAAGTCATCATCACAGCTTTCGCAGGGCAAAGACAAAGATGGGAAGAGATCACAGCCAAAATTTGATTTCAGGGAATTCTGGAAATTCCTTTGGCCTGATATTTGGCTTTTACTATTAGCAAGCTTGAGTGCTTTTGCAGTTGCCATGTTGAACATTGAATTACCGATGTTGCTTGGGAACCTTGTAAATGCTGTCTCTAGTTTAACAAGTGGCAATCTAAACACAGACATATTTCAAGTATTAAGAGAACCTGCAATGAAATTGATATCACTTTATGGGGCTCAGTCAGTCCTTACATTTGCTTATATCTCATTTCTTTCTTGTTTGGGTGAGAGGCTTGCAGAGCGAATGCGCAATGCTTTATTTGCATCATTGATACGACAAGACATTGCTTTCTTTGATGATCATAAAACAGGAGAGCTAGTCAACAGGTATGTTTCCTCTTCTAAGGGTTGCTTGGCCAAAACAGCTTTATTTCATTTTCATGGAATATCATTAATTTATAGCACATACATACGTAGGGTATATGAAAAAAAAAAAAAAGAAAGAAAAAAAACAAGTATTATATTGTGAGATACTGTGTGCTGCAAGGTGATAAATAGACATACAAACCATACCATGAACATAACATTCACTCTGAAAAACCAAGGACTCCCAGCTACCACTTTCCGTAATATCATTACAGTGGTCCAATCCTCTAACAGTATGAATTAACTTTAGATAAGTTCATATATTATTTTTTGTTCACTGCAAAATTTAGGTCAAAAGATTGTTCAGGGTAAGCTGCATGACATGCATGCATTTTGATTGATTCTTATAATCTGTAAGATGACAGATGCTTAGATGATGCCACCATTACCAACATTTTGCCTTTCTATGATACATAAAAGGATTCCATGCTGCTGTGAGTCTGTATAGTAATAGATCACAGAAGATATCAAGATGTCATCTGCTTTGTGCCTAAACATTTCTCTGTTCCCCCAAACTGAATGCTAATTATTTCTTGAATTGAAAATGTAGGTGGCTCACTTAGAACTTTTTTTTTATCTTATATGGTGGAAAATTTTCCTTGAAGGTTGACCAGTGACATTCAAGATTTCAAGAGTGCATTTAAGCAGATTATTTCCCAAGGTCTGCGCAGTACAACTCAAACTGTTGGCTGTGTGGCATCACTTTATATGATTTCACCCAAACTGACAGGCGTAATGATGGTCATCTTACCAGTTGTCATTATTGGTGGTACTTTGTTTGGCTCCCTATTAAGGAGGCTCTCCAAGGCTGCTCAAGAACAGGCTGCTAAGGCAACTGCAGTTGCTGATGAGGCTCTTGGAAATGTGCGAACTGTGAGGGCATTTGCTATGGAAGATAAAGAAACTAAGTAAGATCATAACAAAGTCACTGTTGCCCTCACAGACCATTTTTTGAATACATTTTTTTTTTAATACATCTTTTCTAAATAGAATCATGCATCTTTGTCTATCAACTTTCTGACTTTCTTACTTTCTGGAAGGTTCAGAGTGAAATGATGAAGTATCTTATGGCAAATATATGAGTTGTAATACGATAATGAGATTATCTACATTACTTTCAAGTGAATTAACCCTCCCAGAAGTGATTAACATGTAACGTCTCCCTAATATCCTTACAATGTCCAGTAAACAGGTGATGAGAATACTCAAACTTATCAGGTTGAAGTTGTTGTCTTGATCTAGCACCAAATTCTCATAGCTTATTAACAAGAAATTGTGTAGCAGCTAGAAGGGAGATTCAACAATCAGATCTTGGGATTTAAAGGGTTAAGAGGTTTTTTGTTTTAATTTTGTTTTGTAAATTGAGTTTTGTTCTTAAGTTTTTTTTAATTTGACAGTGTTTGTAAAGAAAAATATAAAATGGGCAAAAAATTTGTCAAGAATTAAATATTAGAGTATACTAAGAAATATTGTAATTATTCCTATGGTAATGAATATAATAATTTCATTAGCATTGGCTGGATCATTTTACCTTACAACTGAAATTGACTTGCAGCTTGTATCAAGATGAAGTGTCTAAATCCAAGGCACTGAATGAGATGTTAGGTGTTGGAGTTGGGTTGTTCCAAGGTTTGTCAAATCTAGCCATTAACGGCTTGGCACTGGTAGTGTTGTATTATGGTGGATCACTTCTTGCTGCCAAAGAAATGGAACCTGGAGACTTGATGAGCTTCCTGGTGGCTACACAGACTATACAAAGGTACTTTATTGGACAGTATGGCTCACACACCTTTCTTCAGGTCCTAGCACTTTTTATAGCTAAAAAAAACAGTTAATAAGTTTTAAATTTTCATTCTGTGGGAAATTTAATAAAATAATGAGAGATTTTGGCTGCAAAAGAGCAACAACTTTAAGATCAAGACAAAACCCAATGAGCTTTTTTCAGAACTCAGACCCTCTTAAGTCTGATTTTTGGGCTGTATGCTCAGCTATTGTAACAGTTCCAACTTTTTCAGTTGTTGTAATTTTTTCAATTTAGATTCTAATTTCATAATGAATAAAAAGAAAGGAACATGAAAATTGAACTGGTCAGAAAAAATTTAGACCAGGATAAACCTTTGAATCACTGACAACCTTCTGTGTTGTGGGTTTGTATAATTACCTAATTAGGTGTTAATTTTCTTCTTTTACAATGTCAGGTCTTTAGGTCACATATCTCTCCTGTTTGGCCAAATTGTGCGTGGCATGAGCTCAGGAGCAAGGGTGTTTGAGTACCTAGCAATCAAACCCACCATACCAGTTACAGGTGGTAAACAAGTCCCCCTTGAGAACATATGTGGAGAAGTTAGCTTTAAGGATGTTACTTTTGTGTATCCTACACGACCCATGCAAACTGTTCTTAAAGACTTTTCCCTGTCAGTGCCAGCTGGTAAGATGGTTGCTTTGTGTGGAAGTAGTGGAGCTGGCAAGTCAACTGTAGCAGCCCTGTTGGAGCGTTTTTATGATCTGAAGAGTGGAAGCATTTTTCTTGATGGTCATGACATAACTTCCTTGGATCCCACATGGCTGAGGGGACATGTGATTGGATTTATTCACCAGGTATTTAGACTGTGAATAAAAGCAGGTGCACTTTATTAAGAACCAAATTACCTTACAAACATATTTTGAATTAAACAAGGTTGCTGTTACAACCAGAGAGTAGAGAGGTGTGAAACAGCATGAGCATAAGTTCTAGTTATTGTTAATACACAGTTGTAATCCAAATTCTGTTCACTCATATTGATTTCTTTGGGCATAGCTTTAAATTAAGTACTGTTAAAGTCAGTTAGAACTCTCTCTAAAATCATTCATGTAGGAATAAAAAATGTGACATTTCACCTCATGATAACAAATTAAGCATGAATAAAAATATTTAAGAAATAGTCTTTTGAAAACATTAAAATGTTAAACATTTTTTCAAAATATCATTTCCAGCCAGCCTTCTGCTATCATTTTTATGTGTTTTGTTCTTTACATCCAGGAGCCTGTGCTGTTTGCCACTTCAGTTTTAGAGAACATACGTTATGGCTGCCCAGAAGCAACAGATGATGAGGTATATATAACAGACAACACCTTGTGTCATGATCATTGTCTGATGAATTCATCAATTTTTTGTTACATTATTTCCTTTGATTTTTTCCCATAATATGAAGGTTTTAGCAGCAGCTCAGCAAGCAAATGCTGATGGCTTCATTAGAGATTTTCCTGAGGTAACTGATTGCACTGCATACTTTTGATCCCAGTCATTCTTTGGAATGGCTCAACTTTTGTGGTTGTCATTGTTCAACAGATTAATTTATTTCTGCTGTTTCATGTCATGTGATATAAAAAAAGTTTCTAGCTTGTGGTAGCAAAAAAGTTAGTAGCAACTAAAATTTGAATCTGGGTGATCTGACTGATGCAGTTGGCATCAAATGCTTAAGTTTATAACCTCAAAGTCAGTTTCTATCAAAAGCGGCAGATATTTCTCTTCTTTTATCTCAGTGGTCAACATTTACACTTTAAAAAAGTTAAACCCAACTTTTCTTCACAATGTTTCCACAGATATCGCATTGTAGTTGTCACAGGGTCAACTTTTCCTAAGTCTTGGCATTAATCTTTTGTATCCTGCCATCTGAGTATCCCTGCAAAATGAAATCAGTAGCCCATAAGGCAACATTTGAAATGATGTTAGGGATCAGGCTGGGGTTTTCCAAAAGGTGGTTAATGTTATTCACAGCATGAATCATTACACAGAGGATTGTTTAGCATGCTCAAGTAAAACTAGTGAGTAAGTTCTTTGGGTAGTTTTTAATAGCATTATCTGTTGTTTTTAACAATTAAGCCTAGAAGTTTTTATATTAAATAGATATAGTAAAAGGAGTTTTTTATGATATTGTACTCAAGCTTCAAGGTTCTAGTGCTATGTGTCGCAACTTTGCACAAATCTCACTTTATTCCACAGGGATACCAAACTATCCTTGGAGAGAGAGGTGTTACTGTGTCAGGAGGACAGAAACAAAGGTGTGTAGTATTTAAAACTTTGATGAATATAAAGCAGAAAGTATCAGTCAGCTTTTTGAGGTTTTTGAGAAGAAGCTGCCAAATGAGTGATAGTTGGGTAAAACTTTTTTTTAAAATTATTTTGTTTGTTTGTTTTTTGCCAGGATTGCAATTGCCAGGGCACTTCTAAAGAACCCAGCCATTCTCATCCTAGATGAAGCAACAAGGTATTTTCAGTATGCCATATAGACTCATTTCTTTTGCTTTTTATTAATTCAAATCAAATCATGATGTTTATTATATTTACAAAAATTCATAAAACGACAGAGATTATCCATGTTGATGGTGTTCTCTAAAGGAGTTAGCATTCATGAAGTTAGGTGAAAGTTCCACTTTTTTGATATTAGGGAATCTGCGTCATTGATTTATTCAATTAATCTGATTTTACAAATGTTTTGGGCCAAGAAGTGTGTTGAGTGTCATCTTTCATTTACATCCAGTGCCTTAGATGCAGAATCTGAACGTGTTGTACAAGAAGCTTTGGACAAAGTTACTAAAGGTTTTAAATTTACTTCAATTCATAGCTAAAGTATTAGTCAAATGAATATAACTGATTATAAGGTTGACCTGTACAATAATGTACACATGATAGCCTCTTTATGAGTTGCATATTTCATGGGTTAACACTTCAAGACACTCTTTATGTTTACTGCATCCATTAGGCTCAGTGGGTGTGTATGGAAAAGATATTTTATCCTGAGTGATTTTAAAGAGAAAGTTGAGAAAATTAATATTACTCTTCTACCAGTTAAGGGTCATTCTCCATGATGAATAACTGTGACCATAGACTTGACATTTCTTGTAGCTTTGTCAAAGTTTTTCACAATAAGGACCTCCCAGCTTACTAATATTATTTTGAGTTGCTGTAGAGCCTAAGAGAATTCTTCAAGTTGATTAATATGGAGGAGAAAAAAGCATTGTACTTTTAATGATACTTGTCCTTCAATTTCTGCACTTAGGACGCACTGTGATAGTTATTGCTCATAGGCTCAGTACCATACAGAATGCTGGTAAGTTAATATGAAGTTGTCCTTTGAGCTTTGTTTTGTCATATGATTCTCCTGAAATCATTGAGAAGGTTATACTACACGAAAATTGAAAATTGATGGATAGGATTTGTTATCCTTATGACACAATTTTTGAAGGCCCTTCAGGCTGTCAAATTAGTTCTTCTTTTATTTTATTTATTTATTTTTATTTGTATTTTCAATTGGTGATGATCTCTGGTGTAGGGCTGATCTTGAATGGTGGGATCATAGCCAAAATATTCTCTGCAAGCACTAGCCTTTGCAAAGTTTAAGTTTAGTTTTTTGTCATTAATATTTGATTGATATGAATGAACTAACTCTGGGTTAGTAAGATTATTAACTAAAGATAGTTTCATTCATATAAGTAATTTATTGCTTACCCAACTCTGTTGCTGCAACTTCATTAACTTTTTTTTATAATTAAAACAGATATGATTGTGGTTCTTTCCCATGGTAAAATTCGCGAGGTAAGTTATAATTGCAAACCTATCAATGTCCTTAATTAATAATTGCAGCAGTTTGTGTCACTTTCTTGTACTTCCCCCACATCAGGTGTTTCCCTCAGCTGGTTAAAGTTTTTTAAATCTGTTCATTTTCCCACATACATTTTGTAAAAAAATTTCCAAATAATTTAAAAGTATGTTGTTATGGTTCTGATAAAGTTTGTTGTTGTAATTTGTAGCTGTTGCGGTAACTGTATGCTGTTGTTCTCATTGAAACTTAAATATTTCCTTGGAACTAAGGATAACTTGGGTTTCAAAGAATACAATTAAGTGCTAACAGCTTACTTCAAATTCAAACTGTTCCAGTCAGTTGGAACATCTGTTTAAAAAAAAAAAGGAATATGCAAGAAACAGATAAGTTTTGGACCCTTTCAATTCATCTCAACTGTTACTATTTTTGGATGCACTAACAGGCATGAACTTTGTAATTTTGTGGCTTTGCTATGGTAGGAGGTTGAACGTCACTTCAAATCACTTTTAACTAACTTTTATAATAGGTGGGAACTCATCAAGAATTAATGGCCAGAGATGGACTTTATGCAGACCTTGTACGACAGCAAATTCAAGAACAGGATTAACTTAGCATGTGCCCCAACAGATGTTGAAGTACAAGAGCAGAGACCATGAGATGTCATCTATCTGAGCAGTGTTAATCACCCTTCAGTGCCCTAAAAACCACATGTTAGATCCATTTGATAAATTCCTGTGTCACCTTAAGGATTAGCTTGAGTTAACTTGTTTCACACCATCCATTAGATTTCATAGATTTCATTTGAAGACATCTTGTTTGTGACTTTTTACATTTCATTAAGGGGCTGAGTTTCTAAAGAAACTGTGGTGCTGCATCAGTGGGGGGTGTTACAAGATAATTTGGTGCTATCACTTGAGTCGATAATGTAAATTAGCCATAGTAAAGAGGTTGTAACACTTGCCTTCCGAGTGTTAGCCCTCTTTCAAAGTGAATATCATAACTACTTGTAATCAAATGTACTGTGTAGTAGTTTAGCTTTTCAGATACATACGTTCAGAGTTAAAAAAACTGATATGACATAGGATCCCACTCCATTTTGACTGGGTGAAGAAATCAATTTAACTCAACTCCACCCAAGATCAGCTGTGATTCTCTTTGTCCTAGAAAGTGGTATTGCCATCAGTGGTATTGCCTACAGTGCAGGTGTCTCATGAGGGCAAGTCAACATTAAGAAGCTGGCAACCTTTTACTCATGTTTGGTCTGAAGTTAGAGTCAACAGTGGGGAGAGGAGTGGGGAAGGGGGAAAAAATTCATTGCTCCAACCCCTCCCCTCTCTTTTTTGATCAAGGCTAACCCCCTTTGGTACAGATTTCTTTCTCTCCCCACTCTTCCACTGCTGTAAAAATCATAGATGGCAGCTATAATTTTCCACCAAGATAATACTGAGCACTCACCCACCAAAATTTTGCCTGCTTTGCAGGCTGCTATCAAAGTTAAAGATCAAACTCTCCTGTAAGAGGGTTAAATAGATCTCAAAGGGTACTGTTGTAGTGTGATGGTCAGAAAGGAAATCATAGGGGCAACAGTTAAAGCTGTGACATTTTTGGTGATCAATGGTGGTATTTGATTAGCCTGTGCTGCAATAGGATTTAACAAAAATTTCACTGTCTTCCCTTTGGTACTTTGGTCATATCTCTAATATCCTGACCAATTCATTGTTCCTCATTACAATTAATTAAAGTACAATAACTGTAGCAACCTTCTGGACATTGGATAATGATTTTATTAGGTGAATAATGAAACTATAACGTGAAGTCTACTATACAAATTGATTGAAGAGAAACTAAAAAGTAATTTCATTAAACAAAAGTTTGGCACTTCCTACTCTTAATACATGACCCCAAGTTATGGTAGAAAATAACATGTAGACTTGACACTGGGAGCCAAGAAAAGAAATCAGTACTATCTCATGAAGGCCTTGGATGTTTTCCATCTTCAAACAAAATTCTGTTTACCCTTTAACCTCCACGAGTGATCTGCATGTAATTTTGAATCATACATTAAATCAGGCCACCAGAATAAAGGATATGATCAACATCTAAAGAAGGTCTTGATTGAAACAATTCTCCCTAGGTAATGTATAGAGAACAGTGTGGAGAATGTGCACACTGATTTTAGGGTGTAAAAGGTTAATGCTTTAACCCCTAAGAGTGACTCCACATCTAATTTCTCCTCAGTGTCACTCTTAGATCAAACATTAAGGTCATGAAAATAAAGAAAATGATCAATAACTAAAGAAGCTCTTGATTGTTAAACAAATTCTCCTGTCAGTTCCTTAGGAAATTATACAGAACAGTTTAGAGAATATGCATGCGGATTTTAAGTGTAAAGGGTCAACATGGTTTACAAATATAAACCAGCTAATAAAACTAATGAGAGTTTATGAGACAAGAAAAACATTTATGATGATGTTATACTGCAATTGAGATATTATTAAGTAAAATTTAATGTACTTGTTTTAGATGACACAGATTTTACTTCCCATCCTTCTGCCTATGAATGAACTTATTCAATAAAACTGAACAATGTTCATAGACATGTACCATTATTGCATCATTTTGTGTAATAAATAGTCAGTAATAGTTTTATTTTTAAATTTCAGTGTATTAATGATATCAATTTCACTCCTGGTTTCATCCATCATAACTTATTATTTCCACTGAGGCATATCACTAAACCCAATTGAAATCTTTTTGTACATCTTTCCACCAACAGCATCATTCATTAGTCTCTTTTGTGCATATACAAAAGCCATGATGGAAACTCCTTTCCATGCTACCATAACGCAATTTATTTACAATAGAGACTTAACGCCCTGCTTTTTCACCACCTATGGAAACTCAAAGGCACAAAACTATCAGTAAAAGTCAGAAATTAGATTTAAATATACACTCACATAGTTTTAAATAGGAAAAATGTCCACACATAAGAGAGCTGGAAGTCATTTTTCCCATTTGCACTAACCGTAATGAGTCAATTTACTTCCCTCATTTTTAAACTCTTGCCTGGAGTGAAATGTGTATTGATCACCATCATGATACTTTGCCACCTTAAGCTTTGGAAATTTTAGTCATGGACCCATAGGACTGTGTAGCATCTTATTTCACCTTATAATACCATCACAGAAACAAATGTCATGGTCATGAGAAAAATTGAAGTAATCACATCAAGTAAAGAAGCTATTGACTGATAATCACACAAATTCTCATTTCCAGATTCAAGTGAAACTTACAAAGATCAGTGTGAAAATTAAGTATGCATGTATTTAAAGGTATAGCGCATTAAATTTGAATGATACAGCAACACAAGCTATGTTGGAACCAATCACACTCCATAATTATATATTACTAAACACATAATACAATTATCCTTCAGAAATTTCTTCAATTGTGGGAGACGCCTCCCTGGAGACAAACAAATTCAAAACCTCTGTTCATCATTACATTCAGTTGTATTTTCGGTATTATCAAAATTTTACTTCATATTTAAACTTTTCCTATTTGACTCCGAGCAAGCATTAAAATGTCACGTTTTTCTTTAGGAAACCTCAGTTCACGTCCACTCAAACGGCACTGTTCCAACTCCTTTAGAGCCTTGTCAAGTTCTCTCTTGATCACTCCTTGTTGTTCTTGTTCCCGAGATATCCAGTCCAATGCCATCTGACTTCTCATCTCATCATCAATAGTTCTTTCTGCATAATGCTCCAACACTTCCTGTCGAGAGCAGTTCCTATCCCTCATTGCTTTCAAACTGCCATTCCAGTGAAGTAATTGAAATATTGTCATAAGATCTTGGAATTCCAACATAGTTTTTCCCTTGTTTGATTCCAGCATAAATCGGAATGCTCCCACACCAGTATTAGGATCTTTAGAGCTGTCTGCCCCTAGATTAATTGTCCTTCTCTTCAAAGCAATCTGCGTTTCTGTGGACTCAGCTTCTTTGACTGCAGACTCAACAAAGTCATCAGTGATTTTTCTGTTGAAGAAAACAGTAATAATCCAATGGATCAATTCTCCTAATTTTCTTGACTGACAAGTGTTTTCCCAACAAGTGAAGAGCAAGAATTCTGAGCAGCCAAAGAGGCAAAATTGTGAATCAAGAGTATAATTTCCGAGCCTTCTAATCTTGGAATATTGGGAGAGGAAAAAAACCTAATTTGTTGGTCATTATCTGTATTGTATACTTGTTTGCTTATAACAATTATTCACCACAGTCAGTGAAAGTGGTGGATATTTTTTCAATTTCTGTGAATTGTAAATTATTGGTCAGTTTAGCCTTTAAATTTTATGGAGGTAAGAATCAAAAGTTCCTTTACATGTAGTACTGAAATTATACCAGACTGCTACTACAGTTGAGTCATACAGACTGGTGACCACTTCTGTACAATAAACCCCGGCCATATTTCCACATCTAGATGGCAAAAGATCTACTACTACATTAACAAAGACGGGCATCTCTTAGGCCAAGACCCTGTATTAATTTTGTTTCCTAGCTTGGATCATTTAAAATTCCTTTTTGTGATAATTAAAATTAAACAACTAAAGCAATAGTCTTGCTTTCTAAAAATGCAACCAATTTTCATTTCAGAAATTCAAATCTGCCTTGGAGCAATAATTTCTATCAGACTTTCAGTCAACTTTGACATGAAAATCTGTCCCTGAACTGCCAGTCAGGAGACAGAGAGACCAGTCTTTAATATCACAGGAAAACCAGATTGCTATAGTGACAACTATGTGACTTTGAAGAATTACAATTTCTATTATAAGTTTAACATGAAATGCTTGTGGTTTGTAAGAGTAAATTTATCATCAACTAGAGGGAGACCATGAGGTTTGTGGTAAATAAATTGTTAATTAGTAAATGAGGTGCTTTTGACTGTATTACCTGGAAGGATGCTCGTTAAACACAGAGTTCATTAGGGCAATCTTTGCAGCACTTCTTCGAGCCTCGGCTTTTGTTGGACACGGTTGAAAACTCCCAAAACAGCTGCCACCAGGAAGACTAACATAACAAACGTATGGTGGCTTCTCAGAAGGCTCTGGCTCATACAGAACTGTAGAGCCACCTTTGAGAGATGCACCTCGTGTTTCCTTCATTTGCCAAAATTCTTGTAATGCTTCTATAACATTAACTGAAAAACAATGAACACTTGAGTAAAAGACATGCATGCATTAATATACATAGGTGTTTGTTTGTAAACATTGTTAGTAGGTAAATGGACAAGAGATGATATTGCTGTACATGTGTATCATGCTTTAATGCAATTATGATTTGAAAAGCAGTGACCATAGCCCATTAATCTGTATGAGCGACCAGCATCTAGTTTCTCCTTACAATGTCACTCCTGAATCACACATTAAGGCCACAAGAGTGAAGGAAATGATCACCAACTTAAGACCACTTGATTGTGAAAGAAATCATACTTTATATTAAAGTTCACACAGCAACCAGGTGGACAATCAGACATAGTTTGATGCTACTCTGGTTTGCAGATTTAATGAATGTAACCAAAGAAGTTACAATTCATAGACCCAACGTTTCGACACTCCTGTCTAGTGCCTTCATTAGGGGTGATCTAAACGCTGCAACAAGAGGTCCTTTAATATGATCACTAATTAGCGGCCTTTTTTCTGATGAGGTGTAAATAGACATCAGGAAGCAAACCGCCATCGTCACGATTTAAAGGAGCATGGGCGGAGTTAATATGCCAAGCTTCCAAACAAAGGCACTGGTGGTAGCGCTGATTAGTAGTGATAATTTAAAAATCAAAATCATACTTGATAAATCATACTTGTCAGTGCCTTAAGAAATACATGGAGAGTAAGTATTCTAATAACAGAGTGAAAAGGATAATTGTGTGAAAACAGAAATCTGTACTCCCAAATGGTAACTCTAACTTCAGTAGCTAAGTTTCACACCCATTAAGTGTTTTCTGATGGAGTTAGGAAAACTCAGTGACAATTTAAGGTGATTAGGAAACAAAAGTTTCCTTCAATGACAGAAACTAAATCATGGATTGTTTATTTATAGGAAATTTAACCTTAATCTGTGAGTCCATCATTTTTAAGCCACAGCATTTTAATCTTAACCACCTCCAACAAACCTCACAACCTTTTTATTCATTTCATTGCATTGGGGTGCATCTGCCTCGACAGGCAGTTTATATAAGGACTTTTATCTTAGTTAAACAAATTTTTTATTACTCTGAAAAAATGACATCTTTTCTTCTTAAGACATTTAACTGGGTCACAGAATGGCCATAATAAAATCTGCTAAAAAATCTAAGAACTGCTTTCAGTTTGTTCCATTAATTTTTAATTTGCTGCAAATGTACAAAATCGTGATGGAACAACTCTAGAATGTTTTGCCACCATGGTAACTCAGCCACAAAATTTAGATTACTCAACAGATTAATTTTCTAAAACGTTGTTGTCCTATACTTGTGTTAAACATTAACCTCTGACCCTAATTGATATATTGGTGACATGTAGATTGGGATGCCATAATCATATCAGCTATCTGACAAGCAATTTAGATGATATATGTAGTGTAAATTAATGAACAAGCTTGCTGGCACTGTAGTAAAGCGTAAACATGAACTCTTAATCGGAGCATTTTACACATGACTTCCAAAGAAACAGGTTGCAATGAAGCTTACAAACTTAAAATTATATATTCATGTTCAATTTTAATGGGAAAACAAACGTAAATATCATAGTCAACTCGAGACTTAAAATCCATAATTACAACAACCCTTCAGCCCATAATAATTATTTTAGATTGCGAAGACGACGACTCGTATCAATTAAGTTAGAACAGATAACACGTCCGCTTATCGTGTGCGAAATCACCATGATCTTTACATGAAAATTGGGCACGTCTTCAAAATATAATTGATGATGTCGGAGCCTTCGACGTTTAATGACTCCTAAATTGGCGCTTTATTGGAGTCGCTCAAATTAAATATTCGTGCACAATCGATTGACAGTGTCATGAAATGCTTGCAACATTCTATCATATCGAATAATAAATTTGAAAATAATGTTAAATATATTAAGGAAGTATTGGCGAATAAGATGTTTATGATTTTTGACTCACTTCTTCATTTATGGAACAAGGATGAAAAATTGTAAACGCGGAATAAAAGAAAGAAAAGCTACACGGGAAACAATTCGAAAGCCTAAAGGCTTTTTATGACACAATCGCGTCGAGAGCCCATACCGAACTGTAAACATAAACAGCGTAACACTGACACCTAGCTTACCATCATGTGGAAAATTTAAACGTCATGGTTGCACTGAGTAGGAGTGCAAACAAAGATACGAACGTTAAATGAGCTGATTTCTGTTCGAAAACCTTGTCCTACGAACCATTCGGTTCGTTCGTGGCGTTGGGAATGATATAACAAACTGTAAACTTACCTCTACCATAACCATGCGTGTGCTTAGCAAAAGAATTCAAGACAGCATCAACAGCTTCTTTTAACACTGATTTACCAGGGTGTGCTCCACCGAAAGCGCTTGGTAGACTAAAATTTCCCGTCTGTTCCTCTGTTGTCGACGCCATGTTTGACCCGAACTAACGCAACCTTAAGGAAATTAGGGCTCACATCAGGCAAAAAACGAAATCTTCACTTTCATATCTATCTTATCATTTATCTGGTGTGAGAGTGTATCCGTGTAACAAGCAAATGAACGTAAATTTACGGTGATGACAAGTATAAAGGCGATGAAACACCTACGTCAATAACTTCGAACCTGACCGATCGAACGCCAACGTCGATTAGAGATATCCCGAGGGAATTTTTTACCCAGTGGGATTGGGGCTAGTACTGAGTCTCTCAATGGCACGAGCTAGGCCCGGTCAGCCAAATGCCAAGTACCTTTTCTTCAAATCCTCGCTTGATTTTTCTTCTTTCTTTTTTTGGGGAAGAAAAGTTGTAAAACTCGCTGTCTGATAGAATAGGTAAAAAAAAAAAGAAAAAAATTATAGCCAAAGAATTATAACCGCAATTAAGGTTACCATAAGACTTGAACCGCAAGTCAGAATCTAGGCTTACGGAGCAACACAAGCTTTTTTTCTTGGAGCGGAAATGACATTTTCAAGGCCCTCTTAGCTGAGATGACTAGGTTCGCGCCCCGAAAAAATGGTCGCTGTCATTTTCTCGACGTAATTATTCAAATCTTGGTTGGGGATAATTTTTTTACATAGAAAAGGGCAGGCATGTGATTGCCCAGCTGGCAGCAAGTTTAATAAGATCTTCCTATATTTTTTTTGTGGTAAAAAGTTCAGTTATCTCATTTGATTGTTAGAGAACATTGACAGGAAAGTTAAGCCTATTTACATGAATAACGACCACTGTATGTGTATCGAGAAGCGGTCAGATCTCAGTAGCTTATGTTGCTGGTGACCGAGTAAACATATACTTTCCAGACTGAAGCCCTTCCTGAACGAGGTCTGATTTCGTATGTCACTCGTCAGTGAAGATGGTGATAATAGATTGCAATCGGTTCGCTCAATGCAACATCTTTCAACCTGTTGTCATGTGACACAACCTCTTTCTAGGAATCGACATGTTTCCGCCAAAGACGATGTAAATGGGCGTGTGCTCAAATGAGGGTCGAAATCAACGCCCTTCTGGTGTTTCCAATGATGCAAAAATAAAATAAGCTTGTGAGTGCAATTCACTCAAAACTGTGTGATCTCTTTGATTTTGGTGAACGATTTTTCTCTTAATAGGTGAACTGTTGCTCTCTGCTCGCAACAATAAAGAGATCAATAAGATCATCAATGGCGTCACTACTTTTAATAGAAAAGACCACGAACTCGCCTCAGGAAAGTGTCAATAGCGGATGAAATCATCTTCTAACTGAGACTCAGCGATTTTTCCTGCCAAGATTGGTCTTGATTACGCTTAAATTTGACGCGCAAAATTTGTCGAAAACTTCATTTGAGCAACCTCACTTGATTGCAAAATATACTGGAATACAAGGGAATCAAGATAGCGCTCATGCTGTCCGTGTGGTTGGTGGTGTTATCCACCCTCGTCGCCGCGAGTCTTGGAAGCATTGCTCCAGGGAAGCGATCTGATTTTTCCATGTCTGACAACCAGTTTTGTAAGTGAGTTTCAGATTGCCATATCATATGGTTTTGTTGCGAATTAGAGTCCAAATTCAAGAATACAACCTCGTGAATCGCATATGTTAAATCAGTTTAATGGATTCATAAGAATTTTGAATTCTTTTGACAGTCTGAGGAAAATTCCGTGCGATAAAATTTCAACGATGAATTCGATTTCGAAGAACTTACGATCAACACAGCATAACCTTTTGTACTACATCTAAAGCTAACTATTCCATGCGTAGGTTGAATCGATTTTGTGATGAGAATAATTGATATCAGAGATAGGTAAACAGTGAACGTGTTTGCAGATCGCGTCGGAGACACGAAACTGGATGATGAGGTCACAGACTGTGCTCTTGTAGAACATCAGTTCAAGAAAGGATATATCCGATTGCGAGAGTATCTGGAGCGGAGAAGGGGATGTGGAAGACAAGGTAACTTACTAATAACTCTTCTCTGCGAGCTGAATATATCAAAACCGTAATAAAGGATTATTTTGGTACCTGTAACAGGTGGATGGTTTTGACGAAAAGCTTGACATATAAGTTTGGACGAAGGCAAGACGGAAACTGGGTCTAGTGCACGAAATAAAGGCTGGCTAATAACTTTTTTTCCGCTCAATATTAATGTCGATCTGAAAGACAAACTCGGGCTTTTGAGTCGCTGTTCGTGTTCATGGCTAAACCCAAATAAATTTTAGCAGAGACAACCCAAAGAGAAGAAGGGCCAAACGGATAGAGTGAAACAATTCGTTTGCTAGTTTGTTATAATTAATTTATTGAGCATTTTACCAGTTGGCCTCGAGGTGATGCACTTGACCCAGTTCCCCTGGATCACAGCTTTACCTGGCACAAAGGTTTATTAAAAAGAGTCTCCAATGTTAGAGAGATGAGTAAATTAAAGAGAAGCGTGTCGAGTCACTGACATGAAAACGCTAAAGTTTAGGTAGCGCAAAACTCTTAGAGCGTCAGTTTCTGCTTGTTTTCAGGTGGATTATCGTACCTCAAATCTTCCTCTGAAATTATGATCAGAATTCAGTGCGCAACTTTAAGTGTTAAAATGTTTGATACTCTTCTGCGTTTTAATCAATCGTGCTTTACTTGGTTTCTTCTCTTTCAAAAGACCGCTTAATTTTGTCACTATAATGAAACCAGTTTGTTTGGATAAACACAGGGCCCCAAATGGATTTCTGTAAATACTACCAAATCTGCAATAAAAAGCACCATTTTCATCTGAATGCTTGCTTTGAAACTCAGGAGAGTTTTTAACAAATACAAAAATATATTGACTTTATAATCTCATGATCATGCAACGTTTTTATTGCAGGAAAACTTAAAAACATCGAAGGAATTGAAAAGTCAACAGAGGATGACATTAACAACGAAAACATCGCCGAGATCGCCAAATCTGCCACTGAAGACTTTCACTACTCTGTGCCGTCTCCATTGCCCGTCGCCAAGAAAGTCCCTAAGCTTAAAACTATTCCTCAAGGTGAGAGTTTACCTTGTTATTTTATTTTGATGGAGCAAGTTTCAATTGAATGTCTAACATGTCAAAAGATATCCATTTTTGTTGGGTCGGAATTCCTTCACAGCGCTCTGTCATTGGCGATGAAATTTCACGCCAGCCTCTTGACCAATCAGATGGCGCTCCTCACGTTTGAGGCGCTTTGCTTGTTTTTGATTTATGTGAGCTCCGATTTGCTCTTTGCAAAAGTCTCCCTGACCCTGTTTGGGGTTATAAGTTTTAAAGACATTAAATCAAAAAGTGTCCTGATTTGCGTCTCAATGATATGTTTCTTTCGCCATCAAACAACGGCCAAAACATTCGGGCTTATCGAGGTAAATTCTTTAGGCACTTTAGTTTTTGAATACAAGAGCTCGACGATTACAAATACAAATTTTGGTATTATTACACCAACGGTTTATGATTTGAGACAAAAAAACTGCTCAGTCAACACTTAGATTGAAACAGTACCTTGATCTCCTTCTTTTGCTTAGTGATCAACATTTATCAGCCTTATAAGATGGCTCATGTGCCCCACAGATATCCTGTGCCTGGTGAGTGTTAGAATAAACTAACGAATAACTTGATAAATCAATAGTCATGCAGCTAAGGCGTACTCCTTCAGTGTTGAAAGCCTTTATAGCACCCTCATTATCTATTTAAATATATGTTTTTTAGCTTTAGTAAGTTTCACTGGCACTGTTTGGCCGAGAAAATGTTTCTGTTAATACTTAGACGGAAGGTGATATTCACTTGTGTAATCCATGCACACCTCGTTCTATACTTGGTTATAAGAGTACATGCAACTGAAAGTAATCAATCAAATGCAAGTTAGTTATTAAGGCACTCGAACGATAGATCTTTTCTCAAGCCTTGGGCGAGTAATGCGTGTTTTGGGGCAGGACACTCATTTTCAATGCATCTCTTACCACCCAGAAGTCAACTGAGTACCGGTGAATATTCCTTAAATGTTGCAAATGTGGCACAGACGTAGGCGCAGTTTGGATAACCTATCATGGCTCTTAATACTTAACCAGCACCGAAAATGGGATGACTTTCTGGGACTATTTTAGACAGTAATGTGATATAAGCAATGAAGTAATTCTAGCTATACTACCTTCAATAAATCTTGTTCTTGTCGCTAACAGTGGCGACAGCAACAGGAAAAACAGCGGTACAGCACACTCCCGCCCGCCCCGCTCTCCAAGCCACGGTACAAAGGAACAAGCCAGCAAGACCAAGCTTGAGCGACTATCAAAGCAAATCTCAGAATTTAGGACTTTCCTTTAAGAGCAACCCATCTGTCGCGGCTTTTCCAGGCTCTGTGGAGAATCAAAACACACAGGCGCTATTCACTAACGCGCTCGGGGATCAATACACTCGTCTGGCTTCCAACTACGATCACCTCGATCAACCGAAACCCAACCACGACCTACTTCAAACATTTTATCCAGGCACATTTCAAGAAGGCTCACACACTGGAGAAACTGTTGCTGTGGGTCAACCGCTGTTCGTTCAAAAAGCCCGCGTCCAAACCACTACTAATCCTCAAAACAAAATGTCCAGCTTCCTAAAAAATGCAATAAATAACTTCAATAAGCCCTCATTAAGCACGCCTGCTAGTACCAGTACATATAAAGGACCAAGTATTAACTCTAAACCACAGGTTTTGAATAAACCTACCACAAAAATTAATGCTCAAAGTAGCCCGGACGAAAATATCGACGAAAATCTTGCAGCTATGCGCGATCCCGAAAAAGACGACAGCAATGGTTCAATCGATGAAAAACCTACTCCGGAACCTGGAATTGACGATAAACCAGCTAACCAAGCCACCATCATTCCTTCTAATGATCCCAGCTCATTGTCTTTATCACAGAGACCTAGAGTACAATTAGAACCAATGAAACCTGTTTCAGACATGTCAAACGGGCTTGGAAAGCCGATTATGAAAGGAACCCCTACATCTGTAAACAAACCGCAGAATGCTGTAGCTCAACACAACACTGCTCCAGAAAAGCTTCAACAGCCTTCAGTCAACTTTGATGTCCTCAAAAACAAAATTATGCATACAACCAATGCAACTTTCCTACGGCGCATGCTCACGCTTATTCAAAAGATCACTCATCACAAAGACTTTTCGAAACTGCAAGCCCCTGCTCGGAGTCTGGTGACCCAGGCGAACACCGCTGTCCAGGCGCTCACTAATGCGTATAAAGAGAGAGTTTCGTCAACACCGCTGGCCGGTGGAAATGGTGATCAGCTATATCCCCTGAGTAAGAAGTCCGCTGTCCAGAGATTTAGTCAGGCGTACAACGGGAGAATTTCAGCTTCGCCGCTTAATCTCGGAATTGTTAACCAGATTTATAGGAATGTCTATCCAGCGACCAAAAAGTCGACTCTCCCAGTGATGAATCAAGCGTATAGCCCAAGGATCGCAGCCATAAGACCTGCTAACCAATTTTATGGCAACAACTATTCGGGGCTGACCAAGAAATTCCAAATAGCAAGGAATCCCTATTACCAGAACTATTACCAATACAGACAACCGTATTACAGTAATTTGCAGAGTATGCAATACGGGTTATACAACGGCAATGAACCATGAGTTAAACTGTTTGAAATGACTCAGAACTAAAAAAACCAATGTCACCTGTTATAGGTTTTCGCAGTGTTAAGTGAACAGCGGATAATAAATGCAACCGAGTAGACAAGCCCTTGGACTAGACTATTCCTCTCCATCATCTTCACCTACTACACTTTGTATGTGCATTGTTGATTACCACGCAACCTAGCAAGTTGGCTTTTGCCTAATCGATGAGGCTACCTAGAGCCGGGTACTCTTTGATTGTTGGCAACATCTACTCTTACCCCTTCTGTAACTTTAGATAAAGTTCTCAACTTGTATGAGATTAATTTTTTCTCTTTCTTCGTTCCTTGATTTTTTGATGCAACATTTTTGCAGCTTACGTTAAATCAATATTATGTGGTTTCGTGCCGTTTTGTGGTTTGCAAAGTTTACTTGTCATGTGATATTAGGTCACATAAAAAGAAAAAACCTATCACGGTACTGTTGAGAAATCATGTCGAGAAATCAAGATTAGCCTAATGTAGTCATTTTTTGTATACGCATACTTTAAAGATAAACTGATTTTAGATTTTAGACAGTCAGTTACCCCACAACCAAATATAGGAGAACCTTTCTAACGACCACTGAATTAATGAAACACTATATATAATTGTAAAGGCTTTGTAGGAAAATAAAAATTTGATGTTAATATCGTCATCGGTTTCAGTATTATTTCGGTTCATCTTTTCTAAGCGACCAAGCGTGTGAGACTAAACCCCTACGTGTGCTACTCTAGCCTAACTGGCCCTTGCTATTAGTTCTTCAATACAAGCTTAGCTTTTCTTCGCTGGAAAGAGGCCTATGAGCAGCGCTAATCGGTCTGCAAGAGGGTCCAGCAGTTAATAATGAGGACCCCTACACTATTAGTGCCAGACTCCCTGCAAACCTCTCCCCTAATCGTCTCACGCGGGCGTGAGCTTACTTCTTTCTTAATTTATTCAGTGTGTTCTCTCTAATTTAAACTTTTTCTTGTTTACGCTTTATCCAAGATGAGCGGATATGAACGCGTATTGAATTACAAAGAGTGTCCCTCGAATTTATCCCCTTTATATCCATTCCGAGTAAAGAGCATCCGATCCATCGGCTGGATAGGGCAGTGAACTTTTAAGTTAAAACAAGATTCCATTAACCCTCTGACCCCTAAGAGCGAATAGCATCTGATCCCTCCCTGCAATATCTCCCCGAATCACAGATTAAGGTCACGAGAATAAAGGAAATGATCACCAACCAAAGAAGCCCTTGATTGTTAAGCAAATAGTTTCCTCGTTAACACCTCAGGATATTTATAGAGAACAGTATGGAGAATATGCATACTGATGTTAGGGTGTGAGAAGCTCAAAGAGCGTGAAAACTATTCCCTAACGCCCGTTTTAATCGATAAACACGATGCAAAGATTTTTACGGATAGCTGTCTTTCTCAGATTTAGGAAAGGCTGATCAAGGAAAATTTCTGGAGGGGACTGGAATTTGTCAAGGAGGGCTGTTAACGTTTTATAGATTTGACCCTACAAACTACCCATTTTTATTTCTTTCTTATGACCACAAGATCCCTTTTTTCGCGTTTGTAGAATTTCTTTTTCTTGGTGATTTATAATTTTCATCTCTTGGCACCTGCTTCAGTTAACATAAACCAAATCATTTGTACCAATCAACACGAAGAGTACCTCCATAAACTGTGGATCTAGCAATAAAATAGAAGTCCCGCGCGCGGCTTTAATTGGTTATCGTTGATGGCAAAATAACGTAATACCAAAACACTGGGTGAGATCTGACTTGAGCAACGCAACTGCCAAATTTGGTGTCTTAGCTGATGGTAGAAATCAAAATTTTGCTGGTTTTGATTTAATTTGTTAAGTTTTAACTCGATCAAACCAAGCGGAACTGGACCGTGTGTTTGAAAGAATGGAGCGCTTCACACTTGCTTGGGTTCTGTTTACGCTTTGTCTGTGTTCTGTGTTAGGAAGACCCGCAAAACAAAAGTCATCACTCTTAAAGACGATAGTCAAGAGATGGGACTTGATCGTCGAAAACGACCGTAAGTCAGTGAAGTGTTTAATTTTATGCCCGCTATGTTAAGATCATCAATTACCAACACAAACTCTAAGCGTGCCTAACGGGGTTCACAATTCATCAGAAAAATTGACAAAGCACTTGAAAGAAAACCATGATCTCAAAACACAAATTGTATTTGAAATGTCAGAAAACACCTGCTAGTCTGGAGTCATGGCGATGTAAAGATTGTCAATCATTACTATCACATTCTCCTAATCCTACCTATGTGTTGGTCAAAGTTGGTGGGAAAGGTTTATTTTGGCGCAATAAAGCATTTTAGGGTAAACTTGGGTTGAAGGAATTTTGTTTTCAACCTTGTGACATAGCCTACATGTGATTACCCCCCTCTCCCCCCCCCCCTGCGTGATCCCTAAAGAGGAGGGGAGGGAGGAGAACTTCATCAAGTTCGCTGCTGTCAACTTCCTCTTCCGCGCCGAAAAAAAGCCCGTGTTAGTCTGCCCCTTGCATAAAAGGCTTCCCAAGAACTGAGGGCAGGAGGGACACCAACTCTTCAACATTTTTTGATTCATCTATCGGCCTATAAATTTATTCATTTATGAATTTTTTTTTTGCTGTACAAATTAAATCATAATGGTTCGGGGTCTGAGAGAGCAGCATTCATTCGACATCACTGAAACGACAAGTTACCTGAGGTTGCTGATCGAGTACATGATTAACCAGGTAGCTTCTTGGAAATGATTCGCAATTCTCCCTTAAAACAGTTACACTATTCCCTGGGTTATCATGGGCTCTGAAATTTTCAAGCTGAGTCTTAATTACTGACATGAAAAGAAACTAGATGCTCACTCAAACTTATTATCGGAAGTGACTCAGTTTTTGGCAGCAAAATATAGCAAAAGGTAAGGATGACATCGTAGATTTCGCTTTGGCGGGTTTTTACAAGCTACATCATTTCCATTACAGATAGATTGGAAAAGCACAACAATTTCTTCGCAATAATGTGTATGTTCAATTTTATTTACAAGTAACACATACTTAAATTTGTATGCGCCATTACCTGTTAGCCATATGTTGCGTCTATGTTGAGTCCATAGTTTGCATACAACTCTGTCAGGAAGTAATGGAATTTCAGCGTCTCCTTCATTCCTTGCAAAGGCTAGAATTTCTTACCACCATCAGTAGTAGCAGCTATGAAGCAAAGGCTTCCAGATTTTTCATTACTGATTAGGTATGCCAAGCTTCAAGTCATTTGTCTCTGTGCATGGGATACACTGGTTTAGCTGTTGCAAATCACGGTTTGAAATTATATCCAGACGGAAGACGAGAGATCATGGACCGAACCACGCGCACTACTAATGCGTCGAAATGTAAAGTTAAAAAAGAAACAGAGCATTTCGAATCACCGGAAAAAATACAAGTTTGCCAAGTAAATGAATTTTCCGCAACCTCTAAGAGCGTCAGATCTAAAGGTGAAAATCAACCGCAAAAGGTGTCTACGTACAACAATCCTTATGGTAAAAAATGGCACAAAACTTGCCAATAGATACACGTTTATTAAGTTTTGATTCTTCTGTTTAATTGCTATGTATACTTTAAACCCTCCACAAGCTTCGTCCGCAAGTGTTTGATACTTCATACCTCAGTGAACGACGAAAAACTCACCTGCAAGTTCTTAGGAGATCGTATCAGTTTTAGCAGGTATCTCTTTGTAGATAGAAGATGAAAAAATTGACATGCTAAGGAAAACATGTTTAATTCATAAAGTTGTGACATTTCCTGTAATGTAGTGAAAGCAAAACCAGAGAGCACGCGCTCCCTTGGGTTCTCAACCGTGAACAAGATATCCTTGGAATCCATTTCTCCGTAATTTCACCTCGGACCCTCGGGTTTCGAATATTTCAAGATGAGGAAAAGTGTTCTTTTGATCCTTCTTGTGTTGATCGCAATTTGTGCGGCTAAATCGTCCAAGAACAAGAAACACAAGGATGAGAAAAGCAAAAAACTTAAAGTAACCGACACTAAGAAACACAAGGACGAACCGAAAAAACACAAGACTAAGAACGAGCATAAAGACAGCAGCAAGAAACATCTTAAAGATGCCAAGAAAAAACAAGACTTGAAGAAAAAAGATGAAAAACCAAAGATTTCGGAAGATAAGGCCATCAATAAGACGGCAAATAACAAGACCGAAATTGTAGAAAAGAAAGAAAACAGCACCAAAGGTAAATTGAAATTTTGAAAATCGAATTCCAAGTTACGGGGAAACGCCGGTTCAAGAGCAATGACTATTATGACGGGTACCGGGCAACTTTTCAAAATAAATTCAGTTCATGCCAGGTGCTTAGGCTGGGGAGTTCTGTACTATCCAGATCTTCTGCGAAAAATTGCAGCGAGTTCGGATAGTATTTTATTATATTGCAATCGATATTACATTCAGTATCCGAACAAGTATCCTTCCTGGCAAGCGCGCAATTTCACTGTCATTGAGTTAACCCCGTGAAGTTAACCGGTGGAAATGATTGGTCAAAACAAAAGTACATCTTCTGACAGGAAACACTAACTTCCACTCGTGTGTTGATATTCCTGTTCTTATCTTTACCATAGCTTTAACACATTTTTTTAAATAGCCTCAATCACTAAGGATATAGATTCACGTTAAAACAAAGCTGAAGTGGAAAAAGCTTTGAACCTCTTGATCCGTAACTGACGCGGTGAGGTGAAGATATAGATAACAGACTCGATTATTACTCAATTTCATCCAAGTAATATCTAATCTAAGTCATTTAACGAAAAACAAGTTCTTTTTCTCTTCTTGACAGGCGGTTTATTGTTAAGCGCGTGAAAAGTGATGCAAAAATAATCTAAGCGACATGAAACGTCGGCTACGTGTTATGACTGAATGGTGTGGCCACAACTCATCAACACCTCCAGGTCATAACTCCACAGAGCCCTGTCACAGGGTTTGACTAAAAATTCCGAGATCTTACCTTACCCTTCCCTCCCTTAAAAAAAATCTCATCATGATCCACGAGGAGATGGGCTGGCTCGGCTCAGTATAAACCTTGAAAGGTCAAAGGCCACGTGGTAAATGATTATCTCTATACAAGCTGTCATTTCGCGCCTGTGTGAACATTTAGTCGTGCAGAAATGTCAGCTGGGTAAGCGGGATAAAATTCCCTTAGATAATGGATTACTAGAAATTCGCCCTTCAAATTGGACCCCTCCTCATTTCGGGCTCAATAAGAGGTCCTTAAAGGGCAAGGGTGTCTGCGAATCAGGTGGCCGAGTCAATGAACAATTCGGAAAGCTATGTATAGTTTGCGATATAAGGTCAATTTTAAGGGTTAACTCTTGCAATGTACATTTTTTAACCTTCTCGCTTTTCTAAAGTGTTCTTTTGTCTTCATAACAGCAATCCTCTCACAAAACCCACCTGCCGATTGCCAGAATATCATAGACGATTATTCCAAAGGAAAATTGCTAATGTACGAGTACAAAATTCAGATCAACCGGTGCATGAATAAAGCTAAGAGCGATGCAGGTAAGTGGTTTGATTGACTGACAGTTGATTGACAGACAGATGATTGACAGTTTATGGATGGACAGCTATACTTGCATCTGATGATACAACGGGTTTTCAAATTTGAGTTATACTCAGGTATAGGTAATTAGCATGTGGTTTTTAAATCTTTGACCTGCGTGAAAAAAAAGTTAACAGGTAATGTACACTTATAATATCCTCAGTCAACTGAATTTGTAGGATTGAAGTGGAGGGGAGAGCTTCAATAAGGCTATTTTTTTCATGCACAAACGGTTAGCGTTCGACACCAGCTGGATGAAAACCTCTCGTGTCAGAAAAGTGTGTCTGGGAGTTATTTCCTTTTAAACCTTTGATCCCCAAACCGTTCACATTTGCGCTGGATCTACCTTGCATTCCTCATCAAGCTAACACAGAATGCGTTAAGCCTGTTTCTAACAAACCTTTCCATAATCACATAAGTCACGGTAACCCACTAACAACTAACGCTCAAAACATTGTATAACGCATTAATCACAGACGGCACAGCTGATGCTGACGCAAAATCAGCGCTGTTGCGTCCGGACAGTGAACCGACAGAAGACACTGACACGGATCAAGCTGTCAATGTGAGACCTTACAGCACCGAAGAACAAAAAGAGGACTTTGACGAAGACTCTGACACAGGTCATAGCGATTTTAGCGCGCATGATAACGATAACGACGATGATTACAATGATGATGATGATAAAAGTGACGATTACGACGAACCGGAAGAAAACGCAGGTGAAAATCTGGTTAGAACAAGTTTCAGGAGCTTATAAAATATTTCCGCTGTGTTGAAGCCACGCTCTTAATTAATGCCGAATAATCTGTAACGGTGCTAAACCAGCTGTAACTACATATTAACTTGTTCGATAAAATGATGGTAATTGTAGACAAGAGAGGAAAGGAATTTACAGTTGGGAAAATTGCCATTTGGAACCGATTAACAAGTTTTAATTACACGCTATCTGTTGGTCATCACATGTAAGTTTGCAAGGAAATACAATATTTGCGTTGCTTCGACCTCCTACAGTTTCAAACAAAAAGAACCAAAGAAACCCACAATTATGGCCTCAAATGTGACAGGTTACAAAGGAGCCGTTAATGTTATTTAATCTAAAAATCAGTTTTTCTACACCTCTGTGTGCCTAAATTTAGCTAAAAAGATGCAAGTCCCTGCAACTACTGGTTACCAAGTTGCTGATATGACAGTCCAGAATTACAACATGCCAGTTCAACAGCCAGAAATGCCAGCGCAACAAGCCGCCTTTTACTACCCCAATACGGGTAAATTAGTTTTCTTGTTCAAGCTCCTATTTCAAAGGTTAAGTAAGAATTGGCTGACCTTGCGATAGAAGGAAATTAATTGATGACTTACAAAAATGGCCTATACTCAATCCAGAATACGCTTGGACATGGGCCAGGAAGACTAGGTCGAGTATATCGAGTCCAGGCTCAACGGTACACTCCCTGCGTAAAGTAACTAAAACTTCATGGAAGTTCTAGTTTGTTTAAATAGTTCTGCTTGGCTCTCGGCTTTTCTTTCACTAAGCACTTATGGGAAAATGTTTAGATGTATAATGGAATTTCATAAAGATAGGACATAAAGGGAGGGAGCTGGTCATTTCGCTACATTTCTCTGGGAAGTTTACCTGCAAGCCTCAACCTTGTGTACTCGACTCAAGTTCCCTGCCACTGAAGTAACTGACAGAACTCGACGATTATTGACCGAGCGATTTTGAAACATATAGAACCAGTTCATACGGTGTATACAGGACGATTACCTCAACTCAGAGCTCATCGCAATCATGAACTTTCAACCATTGACATGGACAAACCTATGCAAAGATACTTAACTTCACGGTGCATCCATCTTGCATCTCTTTCCCAAAGCGAAGAATAGAACGCATTTCCATTCCACCACAAAGGCAATAGTTCACTTATTGTCTTACAAACCGATCAAACCTGAGGAAACATAAGCACAAATACTTTCATTTCATTTTGATAGGAGATTTCTTTAGTGTCTAAGCTTTGCAATAAACTTGAAATATCGAAGTATTCATCAAGTTTCCAAATATTTTTTAGCCCAGACTCCATATAACGGAGCACCAGTTCAGAATCCAGTTCCCGACCAGACTCAAGCAGCTTTCGCTCCAAATCCTACGAACCAGTACCCAGCCAATCCTGCTCCTTTCCATTCCGCAGATCCAAATATGGCCATGAATGCTATGGCCAAGAACACCATACCAGACGCTGAGACACAGGTTAGTTTAAAAAAAGAGAGAGAGAGAAAGAGTTCATGAGAATTAATGAAGGTAACGAATGTCTTACGTTCCGGTCCAGCAATCTGATAAGGGCAAAATTTCCACCTCGCTCGCAAGGAACGACACTACCCCATGTGACTGCCTTTTACTCCGGCAATTTGTCCAAGTTTCTCGAGATTGTTTGTAAGAAGTGCAACTACATCTTAAGTAAGTTTGAAAAGCTTAGTTTTGAAATTTTTTCTCTTAACTGAACAACATATTATACGACTGCTGATATGAAGTTCAATTACGGCTACCATGCTCTTATCAACTGAATTGAAACTGGCGTTGGGAGTGGGAAGCAGTGTAGTGTTCGAACCAACCAAAAATACATTGTGTAATTGATACTTACTCTTGACCGCAAAATTTCCTCAGATACAGCAGCCCCCAGCATCTCAAGCAAATGCAGTGTTCGATCAATGGCGAGCCAGCAGTTTTGGTGCAGCAGCTGCAACCAAGAAGGACGAAACACCTAACGCTCCAGAAGCTCCCGGCAATGACCAATTCGCCGAGTTTATGAAGATGCAAGCTTCCACTGGTAACGTAGCGGAGGCATCACCTATAAGCCAGCAAGCAGCTATTCCAGGGGCCATGCAACAAAGAAGTGACGTTCCACAACAGCCAAATTTGTTTCCCGCGCAGGCGCAGTTACCCAGCACTGTCCGTGGCCCAAGCCAAGCCTTTTACATGCAACCTGAAGAGCATGGTGATTTCCCTGAAAACCCATGAGAGAAAAAGTACTCGGTTTTGATATGATCACTTTTGAGGGTAATAATGTAATAACCTCACTCACTATGTGAAGCTCTGAAGGGTGAAAAGCTTTTCTTATTTGGAGGGGAAACAGCACAATTTCCTAAAAAGGAGTTTCACTAACACGTGATTATTCTCATGCAGTGACCCACATGGAACCTTTCACCTCTTGCTCATGATATCAAGTAAATGTTGGTGGGCAGAATGGGGCAGATAACAACAACGAAATAAAAGTGTCCTCTTTCTAACACGGTTTTGTCTCGTCTAACTATGATTAAAAATTTTTGATTGTAGCGCAGCATGGTTGAGTGCATCACTCTCGCAATTTGGGTTTGAGTTCCGCCCTGGCCATCAGCTGACTTTGTGTCATGGTAATCCCAATCAAGTTTCGTTGATCTAAAGTACCTGTCGTGTTAATTAAGTGAAACGCATGTGAACTAGCTGGAGTAGTTCGAGTATACTTCCAGTTAAAACGCAGCGCGTACAACTACAATTTTCGACAGTCATTCCTAAGGCGTGGCCTCAGTTTGAAACCTTCCATCAAATGTACACGGGGTGATTCTCCGGACAAGCTTTAGATATGACAGTAACGAGAGGTTTCGTTGCAATTTGTTTCTATCACCAACCCGTTAGGTCTTTGTAATCGTCCTTTCTCTTTGATAGAAAAAGGACACGCTACACAGTACTAACTACTTAGCTTGGGTGTAGACTTAACTAAGTTTTTACCTTCTCGCAGTAATATGGAGTGAATCCCTGTTCAAATGAACCACCTGACAGTAAAAAATGCGATAAAATCAAACCCTTACCTACCTCCCCCCCCCCCAAAAAAAAAAAAATACAAACAAACAAAACAAAAATAAAAACAAACAAAATACGCAAGTAGTAGTCATTGAGGTTTCATCTCCTGACCGTCACTCTCACCGAATCTGATCCCCTGCTATCCAGATAAGACTAAAGGGGAGGGGGGGGGGGGGGGGGGAGGGGAGAAAGAAATGGTGTTTTAACCCACGCATGCTGAAAAATCATACTCGGATTATTTCATATCCAACCTGGGATTTGCACCCAGACCACGACCGTGACAAGTCACTACGCGTATATTGTTGGATCTCACTTTGAGGATGTTCCCAGCATACAGAGGTTGGCAGACAGACAGGTCCAAGATGTCAAGCCTCTCGGTGGTACATAATAACCATTCCCGTTCCTTCACTTATAGTTTTCCCATGGCTACGTAATCTGAAACCTAGAATAACAGACGTCTGGTCTAGTTCGAGTCCAACTTGTAGAGGGGGTCAGTTAGATCAAAGAACTGTAGCGGTGAGAACCCGAGTAGCAAATATTTACAGTTTCTCTTCATACTTTTATGCAATTTGGCTGCCTATGATCCCAACGACAAATCAAGACGCTACGACTGCTTCTCTGAAACACGTTTAAGTAACGTGGTGTTGGGTAGAGTCGGAAATCGACACTCAGTGAGCGACTCCTCCTTAGTGGAACCTAGCCTCTGGAAATCTTGCATGGTTGAGTGATGGGCCTTTAAAGATAGTGTCAGTACGTCAACGGTCGAATGTGTTTGAAAACCACCACTTTTACAAGAAACAGGTTATACAGTTAAAATACTTTAATTGAAATGACTCGCTGTATGTTAATCAGTAAACCCTTCACTCTAAAAGAAAATTTCTATTAGCAACTGCACCACAGACAACGGGACTACTGCGATGCAAATGTATTACTCAATGTGGGGAAACAGCAACGATTCTCACTCCAAAAGGTCACGCACACAGTCCTACACTTCTTGACATACACAGAGGACAGTTGATTGTGGCTTTCATTCCTAGCACTACCGCACAATTACCAAACGAGCTTTGGAGGCTTTCCGGAAAGCTGCTGTATTTCCCCTCTTAAAGCTCAGCTTTGTGGACTACGTAACCGCGTCCGCTCTATTAAATTCAACCCTTGGTCCCGAAGACGTCTTCGTAGACCTAAAATGGTCAATGTGTGGGAGCTCTTGGCTCGACGAAATTTCAACCTCTTTCCAAATGCCTCATTTTTAAGAGGGACTCCAAGCTGTTTAATAGAACTACTGTTTTCTAAGTCAATTTCGAGTCCCAGCGACATATTCACAACGTCGTGCTAGACAAAAACCACAAAAAAGGAAGAGAAAGATATAAATGAAAAAAAAAAAAAAAATATATATATATAAAAAACAAGAAACAATACTCCTATTCAAGTGGAGAGGATTACCCCAAGCAGCCTAAAAAAACTAATTTCTTCACTATATAAATAGCAAAATAATAGTAGTGATTCCAAAACAAGAGTTGTAATAAAGGAAAATTCCTTGTAAAAATCCTTCAAGTTGTGACCTCGCCCTTGGACTAAACTGAGCTATATCAACGCTATCTTAAGTTTGTAGAATAATTAACCAGTTTGAGACATCCACTCAGTAGTTCACTACATGATAGTCCAGAAATCAGAAAGAAAAAAAACACCTAAGCACAATAACGAAACACATCAACTTACCATGGGCATAAACATACCAGGTGTTTCCGGGAACGTGATTCTGCCTCCTGACAAAACCACCAATCCTCACCTGGAACTGCAGCACACAAACTGTACCCTCCATCCAAAGCACTGGAGAATTGGTGCGATGGCAATGACTCAATTCAATTTCAGATTTTTTCAAAATCTTAAAAGAATTACCCTTTCAGCCTATCTCATACGTCTTTGTATAAGAGAGGGAAAAAGAAATTGAAACTTTGCAAGATGTTCCATGATACTTTGTGAAAATTTTCGGCATGTAAAGTTCAAAATTGTTTCCAAACAAGAAGAAAACCATGAACTGTAAAAAGAATGCACCCATAGTGTGGCAATTATTTCAAAGACGAAGGTGAGAAAAGTCTCAACCTCACTACTGCATTGTCAAAAAAACAAAAAAACAAAAAAAAAAACAGCTTTTCCATGAAATCCTGGCTGCAAAATCTAATCCTCTTGATCCAAAACATAATCCCTTGGCTTCATGCCACTTAGCCACACTTTATCTCTACTTTTCATACTTTTTCAAGGTCTGGAATGCTTCACTTATAAACTTTCTTTTTTTCCAACAGTGCAAGACTTGGCACAACCAAATGTTTGCATGCTACATCAGGTCACTTCTACATATGCCCTTTAAGTGATGTCACATCAAACTTTTCCTGTGTCGAACCTTGACCTATAAATTTAAGATATTTTGGGACCACAAAAGTGAGAGCAATACTCTCAAACAATATCCTTTCCCATTTGAATAATCACTGTTATCTCATATTCTGTTCCTTTATACCCTGCCAACTATCTAACAGAAATATTTTGTCAACCAAAGGTTTTTGATAATTGACAACCCAAGCAGACTGAAGGGAAAAAATTATCTTGAAAATTCTTACACTCTGTTTTGAAACCACTCACGACTTTGAGGTCTAGTTTATTGTAATCTAGTAATGTGGACATCAAAGGGAACTTAGTAGTTATCACTTCCCGATAACCAGCAAGTCTTCAAGGAAACCACCTTGTCCCAGTTTCCAATTGAACAGACCAACACCACTAGAACTGTGGGTATGAATTTGATAGACAGACTTGATTATTTTTCATGACTCCTTTCTTTGTCATATCCACTCAAACCACTGTTGTTCATATCAACCCTTTTTATCACTTGCAACGGACACAGCAAAACATTTTCTTTTAATAGGGCTAAGTTATGGAATATTCAGTAAAAAAAGGAACAAAACCAACAGTGTTGGCTGAATAAATACAAAAAAAAACAACACAAAACAAAAAAAACCTTATTCTTTGTGCTTAAGTAGTCAATAAAGATACAAATGAGTATATGGTCTCTGCTACAATGAGCTATTTCTACTAAGACATATTTCATCAGAACATCAGAAAGCCAAACATCACTGGCTGAGGTTTTCATAGCAGTAAGCACATAGGTCAACAACACAGGAAACTTCAGTGCACTGAACATCATGAGCTGAGGTTTATCATTCATCAAGTTTCAGGACAGCACACCGAATTTTTTTGTCTTGTTCTAGCACCTCAGCACATCAATGCATATACAGGAACAGAGTTGAATCACGGAAGTTGAACAGATCATTACCAGTCACGGCCTTTTGTGAGAATGGACAAACAGAACAAATGGAATCATTAGGAGTCACCACTGAATAAAAACCAGTGTACCAGGGGTCACATTATCTTAAATTTCATCAAAATAGAACTTAGTGGGCAAATTTATCTGTAACTTGCCCAACGTGGAAAATGGAATTCTATCAGTTTTCATTAATATGGTCACAAGTGTAAATACCTCACTATCTCTTTTCCATTTTAATCCAATTGCTATAAATAAACAGCATAGGTCTAGAGAACTAGTCTGGAAATCATCATGATTTCCTTCTACAATCTACAAAAGCCTTGATGAGCTCACAGAAAGGCTCAAGACTCCTCAAGTAACTCCAAATTACAGTAAAAATGACAAAACCCCAAAATGTGCATCACTTTGGTAATCAGTTTGCATTATGCCTGAAAAAATGATGAGTGAGGCCTTAACCCAAACACTTCATTCTCCTTCAGATATCATTTCAGCAAAGGAGAAAACCACAGGTTTAATGGAGCTAAACAGAGACAAGCCAGATTTTCATTCAATGAACACTTAAATAACACACGCATTAAACATACCATTTCAAGAGAAAATGAGATCTAGGGAAAGACAGTAACTAAAATATGCTCAATCCACTTAAATCTGTTTCACTAAAAGACTGAAAGCCAAGTCAATTTTTGTTAATTCTACATTATAAAATTTTAATCAAGGAGAAAGATACTTTTCTATCTTTTATTGAGTTTTCACCATACTGTCACAAATTATGTACATCTGCCAGTTAGGACACTGAACTGAGGTTACCCTTCATCCAGATGACTTAAAAAAAAAGGATTTCATACAATGGACAAATTAATAACTTTAGATGTTTGGTGGAAATGATACATCCAGGGGATATGAAACAGGAATTTCTCTCTGCATATCCTCATTTTCTCTTGTCTAATACGAAAATACATTTCAATGTGCACTACCTTTTCGGTATTGATTTCCTCCAGAATAAGAACCTGAGTAGCCATCGTCGTACCCACCATCATAACCTCCGCCACCTCCTCCTCCATAACTTCTGCTCCCATAACCACCTCCTATGAAAGAAAAAACACAACACTTTGATTGATTTTTAGGAAGACGCGAAGTGTTCACTGACCAAAATATCAATTTCCTGGCATTGCTATAGACAATTAATTCACTTCACTTCTCTTTGTCTTTACATCATTTACCAGACTTTTCATATTGCTGAGTGTTGGACTGTCCTACAAATTGGTCAATTGTTGGATATGCCCTCAAACTTGCTTTCTATGTTAATTTTACAGGACTATACCTTATCAACTAGGCAATAGGGTTATACTGGAGATAACTGTGATAACATCTTTAGTGTATCCAAAAAATCGAAGAGCAATTTTCCCAAAGGGAAGTGAGAAGTCACATGTACATAAGCAACTAAGACATGATGATATTTGCAGTAAGAGTCAGCAACAGGGGGCCTCTATAACTTTTACCATAAGCGGCTGTGCTGTAAGGCAAAAGCCAAACTCGAGAGCTTGCTTGCAAGATAACCAGACAGTGGTGGTAGACTGCTGATAGATGGCTTTTACTGAAACTTCAGCCTATCTGCCAGAAAATGTTATGGCTAGTCATACCTCCTCCACCATAGCCCCTTTCTCTGTATCCTCCACCTCCACCTCCTCCTCTGCCTCCCCGGCCACCTCGGTATCCTCCTCCTCCACCCCGTCTGTAACCACCACCTCCTCCGCCTCCTCCACCTCTTGCATTTGCTTTTGATACTTTGATTGTTCGACCATCCAAATCCTTTCAAGAATTTTTAAAGTAAGCAGTGTTCACAGAGTCTTAAAACTATCAAACTGTACCTCTGATATCTTTTCTATCAATTTAAAAACAGAAACTGTTTTTCTCTAAAGCACTGAGAGAGAAAAACACATCTTTTATCATTACTGCCTATACACAACATGAATTTTAAAAGCAAGAATTAATAATTAATTCACAATTTGTGTGCAGCCAAGAAGAAATAACTTATCACATGTTAATATACCCCTTTCACCCCAACATCAGTATGCATATTCTCCATACTACTCTCTATGCATGTCCTTGAGTGCTGATAAGAAGAATTTGTTTAACAATCAAGGTTATTTTATTGGTGATCATTTCCTTTCTTCTCAGGACCCTACTGTTTGATCCAGGGGTGATATTGTATAGAGAAACTGAGCAACTGACTCAGTCCTTGGGACAAGATGAGATTGCCTAAACTAAAAACAATTGTGTGCAAAATACAATCTGAGCATTAGAAAAGTCAAATCTTACAGTATCATTCAATTCCTCAACCGCCCTTTGGATATCATCTGCTGAATTCACTGTTACAAAGCCAAACCCTCTTGATCGGCTTGGATTTTCTCGTTCCATGACAATTTTAGCTGTTGAAAAGCAAAGAGGTTCACACATAAGAAATTTATATTGTTTGGAATTTTTCTAATTCTTCAAAAGAGAATACATTCACAACTTTCAAGACACCACAAAAATAAACCAACCCTATCTACAAGGAACTCTTGTGATGAGATGTTGATGCTGTTCTTTCAACAAATAATTTATCTGATAAAAGTACCTGAGTTTTAAGTTTCTTCCACCTCTTTGTTGATGTTTTTCGAACAGAATCATTGAAAAACCCACATAATGACAAGCTTAAATCTAGATCTACCTGCTACATCAATTCCACCTTATCTAAAATTCAATAGTTACTCTCCAGAAACACAAATCTAGAATCATTGAGACGAAAACACCCTACTAAGAATTCCAAAAGTATACTCAAGTTCACACTTTAAAAGTTTATGATTCTTATCACTGAGTTTTCATAGGTAATTGTAGGTCTACCTTTTGACCTATTTCTATGTGAATTTTATTAGCTAATTCACCCAAAGAATTGGTTAGTTAGCAAGTCCTAATTTAAATTTTCTGCTTTAAAACTGAAACCGCACAAATAGCACAGGAATAAGTCACCAACTCCATTCTGCCACTGCGTGAGATTAACAAACAAAACTGTGGAAATAGGCCAACATCGGAAATCTAAGACGTAATTTCTCCCATTTCACGGCTTCCCTGTCAATTCGAAGGCTGGGAAAAGTACACTGTTTGTTCTGATATTCCCCTCAAAAACAGCTTTAACAACTTGAAACTTAGGAGATTTTTGTGGGCACCACCAAATGAATATCTCTTAACACAACTTCGAGATTACCGATTTCCACCTTCGGTCAATGACGGACCTTGTAGTATCAGAATCATCAACTCTCACTCTAACAGCCGATAACGCTGGATTGCTAACGATCAGTACACTCTAGTACGATCGTGGCTTGCATTTCCCATGTTAGTTATAAAGCTATAAAGTCAATGCTTAACGATTTACACTGATGAATGAAGTTCTCGAAAACTCCCTCGCTCTCTCATCAACCCACCGCGTGCTCGATGGCGACATGACGCGAAGCTACCATTATAATAGCTGTTCACGTAATTTCTTTAGATTCCAAATTCTTCCTTGATTGAGACACAACTGACAGAGAAAAACCCGATTGTAATGATAATAAACTAGAAAACTGACCATGAACGCCGCGAACGTACACTGAAATAAATTGCGCCATTTTCTTAAATTTTCTTACAACGAATTTCCTTCTGAGAACTGATTAAAAAGCTCACCAGCCATTAGATTAGGCCGTGTTATAACTTACCATCTACAACTTCCACTACTTTATCAAAACAGATTTTGAGAGATTCATTGTCAGTGTCGTAGCTTAAATTACCAACATAGATTTTGTGCTCCTCCATTTTGACTGCACACACCTCGTGTTCTTTCTTACTTGGCACGGAGTCCTAGAAATTCTGGTCAAACCGGTTTCTAAGTCACCTGACTACTACTGTCTGTCATTGGTCTGGAAACGAGCACGAGGTTTCCTGATCAACAACAGAACTAACGTTCTGAACCTCATAGGAGTTCGGAGAAGAAAGTAAATACAACGAAAGAGATACGGCTGTCACCAAGACTAGATCGGCTATTCTTACACTTCGCTCTGACGGAGGGCTAACGTTCGAAACATCAGCCTTGAAACTCTTTGCAACGTCGTGTAGTTCGCTTCATTCGCTCTGACGAAGGGCTGACGCTCGAAACGTCAGCTTTGAATTTAACTCTTTACGGTGGCCAGTTTACATTATCAACTCAGTTGATATATCAAATGGTCTTGTTATTCCTGCACTTCGCCGTAGTTATTCTTTTTACAGTTCCATTCATGACCCCCTTTCTAACGCGAATAAAAGAATTTATGCGTTACCAAACGTGACTGATAAATGACAGGAAGTTCACAATACCCGTATAGGACTGTTACGTGACGTTGCGAACATTGCTGATATCATAACTGCCGAAAAACGTTGTTTCTTGTAACGTGACGAATAAGAGGAGGGAGAATGAAAAAAAGAAAGAGAAAAAAATGACAAATTAGCCACGGATGTAGTCAGCTACTATAAATACAAATTCCTTTGACGTGGGAACAAAGTGGACAATTTCGAACAGAGGAAAACAACGTTTGAGGGCGTTTCCTGTGATTCCAAATGCAAAAAGCGCCCATCTTACCCGCCAGGTTGCCGGTCTTTTCTCAATCCCTGCTCATCGCAATGTAGTACTTTACTTCCATTTAGCGTTTGCCTGTTCAAATTATAGGTCAGAGTAAACGTCAGATTTCATCTTAAACCGATGAATACAAACATAGTAGTTTGGAATTCCCTTTGTTCTCATTCTTTCTTTTTCCAAGATCACACAAGACACCAAAACGTGGTACAGACATCATTAACCGGCTCGTGTGTCCCTCTCATGTTTTTGCCACATTTTTACAGATACATCTAATTGTATCAACTTTGTAATAGAAAAAAGCGATGAAAGAATAAGGGGGGAAAAAAAGCCAGATTCAAATTAATTACCATAAAGCATACGCACACGCCGCTAATAAATTACTATAATTATCTTTTCCCCCCACGTTTGGAATTACTTGAAATTTCTATACAACTTCTGTTAATCTCTAGAGGTTTGAAATAATTTTTGAGTGGAAATTCTGTGAAAATTGTTTGGCTGCCGGGCATAGAGCTTAAGGGTAGTTTTAAATTTTAAATCCCTATTTTGGCTTTACCTTTATAAAGGGGCTTTTTTTCTAAGACAACGTTCTTGCCATCGAGTCTTTTTATATGTATGACGGAACAGATTCAGGACAAATTGAGAGGTGGAAACTGAAAAAAAAAAAAAAAAAAAAAAAAAAAAAACCCACCCATAATAACTGGGTTTTTAACCCCTAAGAATAACCGACTCTTAAATTCTTCATACGCGAATAAAGGAAATGATCACCAATTTAAGAAGCTACCAATTGTCGAACCAATGCTCCTTGTTAGTTCCAGAAAAAATGTTACGTTAACAGTGACGAGAATATGAATGCCAAGGATAGGCTACAAAGGGTTATGGGTCAAAGAAAACCTAACCCATCCCCCCTTAGATATCCTCAAATCCAATCTCCATCTATAGGTAATTCAAATATGATAATTTTAATGTACCAGGAAAATCAACAACAAAATCAAGTGACTCAAGTTAACTTGACTGCTCTAATAATACTATGGTACATTATAATTACCATAATGATGTACCAAAAAAAAAGAAATCCTCCTAAAAGCCTACAAAAACACAAACTATCTATTCAAACGCACATGGAGTTTAAAGGAAAACAAGGCTGATTTTTTTGACACTCTTTTTGAGTTTGTAGCTGTAATTCATGATACAAGGAAAGACCAGGAATATATTAAAATAATAAAAAATGGCACTTTGGATTGGAAAGTGGACCTTCAGTAGTGGTGACAACACAGTTGATGTTTCTTTTTAATAAGGTACAATGATCATTTTTCAACTATTTTGAACAGGTGAGCATAGAAAAAAAAATTGTTTAAACATCTTAAACTAAACTAACAAGAACTTAAAATATGTATGAATTTCTGCTCTTCATATAAGCAACCATTTCTGCACAATAAATGGATCATCAGAACATCAGAGAGCCAAACATCATTAGCTGAGGTTTTCATAGTAGTAAGCACACAGGACAATAACACAGGAAACTTCAGAGCACTGAACATCATAAGCTGAGGTTTATCATTCATCACGTTTCAGGACAGCAAACTGAATTTTTATGTCTTGTTCTAGGACCTCAGCACATCAATGCATAACAGACTGACAGGAACATAGTTGAATCACGGAAGTAGAACAGATGGCCTTTTAGAAAATGGACAAACAGAAGAAATTGAGTCATTCAAGTTTGTGCAAATTGTATCCCACCCCTTTGCTAAATGAATGAAAAAAAAACCCAGCTTGAATCATGAAATCATCACCCAACAGAACCATTACTGATTTTGATTAATAAACAGTAAGATTGTAGGTTTACAACTTAACCCAGGCTGACCGAGTAGTCTGCCATATTTTCATTCAATGTATAATGAGGTAACTCTCAGCCTTGCTCCTGTTAAAAAGAAGCCTGGCAATATTGCAGAAATGCAATATTCTAAATCAAGTCACACAGGGTTATTAAGGAACATCATCCCTAATTATATACAATGATATAATGCCTAAGAAGAACAACTACATCTCTATCATCAAGGTAATATTGGATCTTTACCTTACCTGTGGTCATGTCCTTTTTAATAACCATAACCACCGCCACTACCATAGTAGTAGTTTCCAGAACTGCCACCACCACCACCACCAGTGTAGCCTGGTCCATAGTTTGCACTGCCCCCATAAGCCCCACTTCCATAGTTTCCACCACCTACCAAAGAGAAACAATAGCCCATAAAATTGGCTTAACCACTTTTAATGTCTTGGTTAATATGGCTAAATGAACAACTGTGAAACTTGCCAATTGTTGTACTTGTTAATGCCATTTGTTATGGTATACATGTAAGTGATATTTTGGTGAGTCTGAAGGCACACTGTGTTGCTAAAAAGAGAGGACACAAAATTGCAAAACTGCCTTGAAGTAAGATTTTTAGCCAAACTGAATAAATGGAAAATGAAACAAAGAAACAAAGTAAATAAATTTTTAAGCCAAATAATCAGGGGAACATCTAACAGACACACTCCCTCTTGGTCAAGACTCCTAACTCTCAAAGTCTATCCCTAGCAGAACATAAGTAAGTAACAGGAAACCCAATAAAATTCTAATGGTAATGCTAGAATGGACTCTCAATCTGTCCTAAATTTTATTAATTTATTTGCAATATTTAGACAGGCTGGCATGTTCAGTTTATTTAAACTGGGTCCTGTAAAAAACATAACAAGGCCAGATAGAGAATGTTAAAATACACTATAAAACAGACAGGTAATGGGCTTAATGAAAAATATCAACTGAGGAAATTCATTTGATTAAGACCATAATGAGTTTGACAGAAGATCTTGGGAGTGAGCAGGTTACCATTTCTTTGGGTTAACAATGTGATGCCCAAAATAGAACTGGCATTTCCTTTCCAGAGAGAAACAACCATGTAGATCTATGAAGGTCAGTCATATGTGGGTTCATGCAAGTTTGCATCTACATTATGAATTTACCTCCACCAAAACCACCACGTCTTCCTCTGCCATATCCTCCACCTCTGCCTCCTCGGCCTCCTCTAGTCCGCCCTTCAGAGCTGCCGCCTCCACCACGGGAGTTTGCTTTATGTACTTTGATTAGTCTGCCATCAAGTTCCTTGAAGACAAATTAGAACTAATGTTACTGTTTTGTTGCAGTGTTCAGCACAGTCAAACAAGCATTATAATAAAATCTTACTCATCAAAAGATTTTGTTTCTGACCAATGCCCACTACTGTTGTTATTGATGTGGCACTATGTCAATGCCACCCTAAATGATTACATCATTGATTTGCCTATCATATACTGAGTTTATTATTAATTGCAAGAATCAAATTTCATAATTCAGTACCCAGCATGCATAACTGGAATGAATAAAAAGATCATTTGTGAACTAAAAAACTTCCCAGCTATCGATGACAAGACTTCTAGACAAGACACTGATATTACCATCATCATAACTTTTTAAGCTTTAGTTGGTTTAGTGCCTTGAGTGTTAGTTTGTAGCCTACATTGTATTCTCCTTCACCAAGTGTTTGGCTGTGCTAGCAAACTGTGATATGGTGACCAGCTTGCTAAAAACCATCATGAACTCGTGAACTAAAAAACTTCCTGGCTATCAATAACAAGACCTCTAAGCAGAGACACTCGTATTACTATCACCATAATTTTTCAGGCTTTTCTTAAGCTTTCATTGGTTTAGTGTCTTGAGTGTTAGTTTATAACCTTCATTGTATTCTCCTCTCACAAGTGTTTGGCTGGGCTAACAAACTGTAACCTGCTTGCTAAAAAACATTATGCAGATTCAAAATATCATTTTCTTGAGGACAGGAAAGTTCCTAACACCTGATTTAAATTTGACACTAACTGATTCCCCTAAAATTGATACCTCAGTAGAAAAATCAAACATTTAAAGTGCATGCACCAATTTTATCCAGGACCAAGTTTGCTTCACGTTGAGTATGCATACACAAAGTCAAGATTATTTGGTGTAACTTATCAGATGTCAACACAATATTTCCTAAAATATGGGTAAAATTTAGAGAAATCTCACTCTTTTGATAACGAAAAAAGTATAAACTTTAAAGGTGGTAGACCTTAAGTAAGATAATGATAGTAGATACAAAAATAGTGAATAAAAAGTAAATGAACAAACAAATGATATGTAAAGGAAGGAATAAATGGGCAGAACTTAGCACAGAACAATCACAAATTGGTTCATTCCCTGAATCCATGTTTAAATGGAATTTAGCAAAGTGGCTTATTGTAAACACCTCATCAAAATATATGTACTGTCCTATATTAGAGTGCCTATAAGAGGCAGCATCGTTGACAATGCCATTAGAAACACAACAGGTTATTTATATTTCTCAGCTGAGAAAACACTTTTGTGATAGACTTGAGTATATCAGATTCTTACCGTATCATTAAGCCTATCACATGCTTCTGGTACTGATGAACTGTTGTCAAAGGTGACAAAACCAAACCCTCTTGATCTTCCAGTGTCCCAATCCCTTATGACTTCAGCTGTAGAAATAATAGAAACAAATCCTTGTAGACAGTTTTCTGATGGACATGCTTAGAAAATTATTCTCCCCTTAACTCCCATGAGTGATTAAGACAGAATTTCTCCTTACAGTGTCAAAACAAAATCAAACAGAGAAGTGAGGAGAGTAAGGAAAATATCAATTAGAGAATTATTTGTTGATTCAATACCAATTTCTCCAAAATAACATCATAGGAATTGTGTAGCAGACAGTAAGGAGAACTACTAATGAGTTCTAGGGAGTGAGAGGGGAGAAACTCCAAAAAACAGTGCCTCAGTTCATATTATCTGACATGAAAAATACATAATCCATGGATGACAAGACACTGGAATTCTGGAAACAAACAAATAGACTACATTAGACAACCAATGAAACTTTGCATACTGTTACTTCCTGTCAAAAGGATAGCAAAAAAAAGAAGTTATCTTCCATTTGACCACACCTATACAAATCTGGCCAAATGATGGCTCTGCTTGTCAGTTTATCCTTTGGTTCCATGCAGATTCTAAATATGTTTGACTGATAAGTTCTGTGTGCTTCAAGGAAATCTACTTCAATAACTTCCTTATTCTTTTGCTTAAAAACAGATCTAGTTCCCACCACAGGCTAATATGGCTCTCATGTGCCACTTTATTAACTTCCTCAATTAGAGTACATAAGTGGTCCAAGATTTTAACTGATCTTTTTCCTTATCAACGGACACATGGTTCTGAACAAATAGAGGATGAGGTCACTTTTGAGGTCCTCAACAGGTGTGTCAAAAGAAGCATAGGCTGTTGATGGTATATAATTTTTCCCAAAAAGATGATAATTAAGTACCAAAATCAAGTCTCTTAGAAACATGAACTATTTATGCTAAATGATTCCAAAGTAAAAGAGGTAATTTCGAGTAGGACTATGAAAGCATTTCATAACATCGATTGAAAAGAGTAGATGACATGCACCACTCTAATGGAAAACTGTTTCACCATCATGTTGCTGAAAAAAGAAACTAGTGTTTGTGCCAATCACTTTGAAGATACTACAAGCAGAGGTTATGAAGAGATTAGAAGAACTAAGACACTAACAAGGCCTTTCTGAGATAAAATAGGACAAAGGTTGCTAAAATAAGGGGAGGAAAGTTTTAAGACCATTTTTGACATAAAAGTAAGTTTAGGAAGTTTTATCCCAACGAAAATTGTTACAAGAGAAAGTTCTTTCAGAGGGACACACCATTAGTTCTTTTCATCGCATCAGGTACCACTCTTCCAGCCTCTTTTTGAAAACAAATCACCATCACATTTATAGCATCCATCCAAAACCACATCCACATATTCCAAGGATTCACCATTTGCATCATAGCAAGCTCCCCAACCATAGAAAAAGTTGTTAGTTTGTCAATGAGTCGATGCTGGTCAATGCTACTCCCCCCTGAGTATTACGCACGGAAAGGATGCGCAATGTATTACAAGGAAATTACTCTTACTTTATCCAATTTATAAAATATCTACTACAACTCAATAATCCATTTGTTTAGTCGATTGGCAATTTTTACCAAAAGATGCATGGATGACGATAAAATCCTTTCGGAAGAGGTCCGTTTAATTGGATGCCTGACACATTTTGACCGACATTACGACCGCGTGCTTCCGAAATATGAAATTCATGTCAAAAAACGTGTCGTTTCATCGATTTCAAGAAAAGTACGATTACCACACATTTAACGATCAAACAAATAAAGATTCATCCTTTTTACAACACGATACACGTGTTACTTTCAAAGGTCAGTTTTAGGCAACATGAATAAGCTTTGGGTTTAGATGTAAAAGAAAAAACGAGAGACATTCAAAAGAGCGTAAGCTTACCTTTTACAACGGCTCCAATCGTGCTAAAATAATCTTTGAGCCGTTCTTCGTCCGTCTCAAACTTTAAAGAACCAACGTAGACCTTACATTCGTTTTCACTGTCAGCCATTGTGGATAACTTCTATCGATACTCCTAAGAAATAAAAGAGCTTCACAACAGCAGGTCTAAATGCACATACTTTCCAATCTCGTGTTTTTCGCGCATTTAGGAAAAAACCTGCTAAACCGGTTTTTTATTTAATTCATTCCCAGTCTCCTTGACAGAGCGTTAGTGTGGCTGGTCGGTTTTGGGAAATAATAGGGATTCGAGTATGGGAACACCAAAAAAACACTGAGATATTAAAAAAACTGTAAAAAACTGAAAAAAAAATGCCTCTATCTCTGGCACTGTCTCCGTGGTGTACATAGTTGTTTGTTTTTCTCTGTAGATGCCAGAGACCCTCTGAGCTGATCAAGTCACCGGTTCGTTAACCTCTTCCTTATCTATTCATCTGCTTATTGGACTACAGAGAGACTTCCAGAGGGAATGACAAACGGGCTAAAAAAAAAACAGTCTGAGATCGTCATCTCGAGCTGTGCGTGTTCGACCATTTCGTTCAGGCGTTTCTTTTTATCATTATTATCATTTTTCCTTATTTTAAAGATAATTATTGTTATTTTAAAAATAACATCTTATATTGTAAATGAATAAATAGCGAACAGATGACTCGGGACCATAGATATAACTGTATATTATTGACCAATTAGAACACTTGTTTTATAGAGATCGAGGCGCATGCTCGACTTCTGAAAGCTGCTGCACATGCTCAGTGTGTATTGATCGAAGGAGACATCTTAGGACTAGCGTGGTGTACGAGTCAAGGTTCCTTGTTGTATGCGGATATGACTGGCTCGCCTTCAGGACGCAAGCTTTTTGTGGGCGGCCTGCCTCCTAAGGTCGACGAGAAGGCTCTGAGAGATGTGTTTGCTCGTTTTTGGCACATCGAAGAAGGTTTGTGAACATCGGCATGGCTCAATTCACCTTAGACTTGTGACAACTTGGCGTTAGATTTGCTTCCTGCCTAATGCGCGATTAATACTGTAGGATCCTTCAATCTAGAGTTAAATCGAGACAAGTTTAAACTTCAGCAGCACCAGATAATTATAATGGTATAAAACCGTAAAACAATTTCTTTAAAAGGAATCATCGTGTTACGTTATTAGATTACCATATTGCATGTTCAACTGTCTTAAACCTTAATTTCTTGACCATCCTCATAATTAGTGATATCGATTTGTTCGAGGTTCTTTCTGTGGAAAATGATGAAATTTTAGCGGACTGGCAAGGGTACAATTTTTGAACTGATTTAGAAGCAAAAACAGTGGCGACCATGAGAGTTTTGAAACTGTAATCGATTCCGGGTGAATGTTAATCCCATACTTCAAAGTAGGTAACAAAGGCAAGTTGCTGGAGAGTAGCAAGGTCTTTAGTGGTTCTATAAACATGTTTTAACACATACCAACTACCAGAATCGTACAAATGACTTGTTCAGAGCATCGGTTTTACCAATGAGTTAAGCTTTAACATATTAACTTTACAGATTGATAAAATATGATTTATTTTAGCTGACTTGCACTCTTTGAAACCTGAAGATGTATTTGGGGAGGGGGGGGGGGTTGGATTGGGTGAGGGTTAAACAGCCATAGTATTAATGATAATAACACTCTAATTCTCTTAATGCTTCCAAACTTAGTTAGCCTCTGAAGCCACTTATCACAGCAGAAGACTGAGTTTTTTTTTTGTATTTACCAGCGATAATTGTAACTGACCGTGAGACACACAAGAGCCGTGGCTTTGGATATGTGGTGTTTAGTAATCCTGAGGATGCAAAAGAGGCAATTTCAACAATGGCTGGCGAACGTGGCAAGGTTTGTATCCTTATGATTGAATTTTTATAAGGGTGAAAAAGTGCAAAAATGTGACAGGGCTGCATTAAAAAATGTTACTTTTACACAAGGCTGGCTATGATTGGAGAAAGGAATTGACTGTGAGAAGGTTTTGAGAACTTTATTAAACCTTTACACTGTAACATCGGTAGGCACATTCTCCATACTGTTCTCTATACATTTTCTTAGGTGTGTACAAGGGCGATTTGTTCAACAATCAAGAGCCTTTTTAGTTGGTGACCATTTCCATTATTCTTGATCTTAATATTTGATTCAAGGGTAATATTAGGAGAAGGAATTAGTACTCAGTGCTCCCATTTAATCCTTTAATTCCCAAGATTTCATTAGTAATTCTCCTTACTGTCCACTGTACAATTTATGTAATGTTAGTTTCGAGAATTTGGAATTGGATCAACCAATAATTCCCTAATCAATATTTTCTTTATTCTCATTACTTGTCTGCTTGATGTCATATTGACAGTGTATGGAGAAATTCTGTCTAGGTCACCAGTGGGACTTAAACTGTTAAATAGGGTATAGAGAGGTAGTTCTTTCATCCTCGGTGACCTTTAAAATGGACACTAGGATGGGTGATATACAATGTTCAAGCTCATCTAAATCCAAGATGGTGTCTAATTATTGATCAAGATGCATGTTCTGCATTTTGGAAATTAAACAAACTTGACAAGGAAGTTTGCTGCGGATTTCTCTTTGCAAATCTTTTTAATTCACTATATCTCTATGTATGGTTATGATGAAGCCTTCTAGTCGCCAATTTGGTGACTACTTTTCAGGATTTGGTTGCCAAAGTGAAAACTTAGTAGCATTGGCGCCTATATCAGGCGCAATTTCACGCCCTGTTTGGGGAAGGACCTCCTGTTCTTAGGGAGGTCTGCACTCATTTAGGAAATTTGGAGGCTCCTGCACTGTGAGGACTTCTTTTCCCCCTGCTTTGTTGCCTCTTGAAGTCAAACAATTTGAACAAATGTGAAGTGAATTGCTTATGCACATGTATGGTGATGTTTGTGTAAAGGTCACAAGCTCATAGCCACCTCATGTCAGGCAGGTATGGGTAAATCTACTCATACCTGTGGCTGCTCTTGAAACCCTTGAACACATTTTAGATAACAAAACAGTAGTGTTAACCTGGTTAGTTAAATTTTCTATCTTTCAAACATTGTTTTTTTTTTCGGCATCAGTGATGTATGAACCCTATGTTGGAAGGGTTTGGAGGAGGTAATCTTGCATGAGATTTTCTGTGGAGCTTATTCAGTGGAACTAAAAAATATAACAACTCAGCAGCAGTTGTGTTTATTTGTTTGGTCAATCTTTGGTCAATCTTTTTTTCCTTTAGAAATTTTTCAACCATGAAATGACCCTTGAGTATGCAAAAGATAAGGATTCTGCGGCACCAAGAGGAAGAGGAGGGCGTGGAGGTGGTCGTGGAGGGTTCAGAGGAGGCTATTCAGATAGAGGTCGTGGACCACCTCCAACACGTGGCCCTCCATTCAGAGGGCCTCACCCTGGTGAACGTGGTCCTCCCGGAAGGTCAGCTTTTAAATCTGTGTCCTGATTTTTTAATGGGGAAAGAAAAATGACAGCAAAAAGTAATAGCTTATAGAAAAGTGTTTTGTTGCTGATTGGTAGAAAATCGCTTTGGGGAATTTGAAGATCTGAGGTTTGATTCCTCATAGCAACTCAGATTTGTTTAGACTAGATTTGAAAACATCTTTCTTTGAATTAAATTATTTATAGACTTTTAGCCTTTTAAAGGTTGAGGCCTGGTCAAAGCTTGGTAAATAATGTGCTGGACAAAAATGTTTAACCTTTTTCACCCCGATATCAGCATATGTATTCTCCATAATGTTCTCTACATTTTGTAGGGTTCTGTCAAGGAGAATACATTAAACAAGCAAGAACTTCTTTAGTCTGTTATCAATTCCTTTATTCTTGTGACCTTACTGTGTGGTTCATGTGTGATGTTGTAAAGAGAAGTTGGATGCTAGACACTCAAAGCATCTAGCGTCAGTTTTAGCGGAGATCCTTCATAAACCCTTTCCCTTTTTTTAGTTTGATTTTTTTTATATGCTTTGGAATACTTAAGACTGAATTATGTTGTTTTGTAGTCACATTGGGTGTAAGCTAACATTGATTATTGTATTATTTGCCTTGTTGTATTATAAGTTATCATTGACCCTGTCAATGTACAAGGTTTACCTGATCCATCATTGTTTTTGTGATTTTGAACCTTATAGGCCACGCGATGGTCCCCCTCCCCCCCGTAGAGATCACATGCCTCCCCCTAGCAGAGGACCCCCTAGGGGACCCCCAGGAGAACCACCCAGAGGACCACCTCCACGTGAGAGGTAAGGAGCTAACTGCTTTCACCTAAATTTACCATTTATTTACCAGGATTTACCAAAAATCCCACAGTTATTGAAATACTGTTATAGAAATTTTTGCAGCAGCCATTTCTTAGTTCCGTACAGAATTGAATGCATAATTTACCAATAACAGGTTTTGATTTTTTGCAGGGGTGTTTATAGGAACTGGCAACTGGCCAAAGCCTTTAGCCAGGCTGCCATTTTAAGTTGGATATGTTCACCTCAGTTTATTATAATTCATGTTTAAAGTATTTATGATTATTGAAATAGTTAAAAAGAAATTTTGCCAGTTCTCTGTTTAAAGGGCAACTGATTCATAATTTACCAGTATTGGGTTAAGACTTATGAATCATTACCATATCATTGCTTTGAAGGTTGGCGTGACTTTGTGGAATACCTGGTTGTAGATATGCAATGTAGAGTACATTTAGTGTAAACAATCATAGTATTGATGATCAAGTCAATTAAAATTCAATCAATATTTTTTCTAGATATGATGACTATGGGCCCCCTCCTGACCGTGGGTACCCCTCAAGGGATTATGATCGTGGAGGCTACAGTGACCGCGAGAGGGAGAGGCCACCTAGCTACAGTAACGACTACTATGGCAGCAGGTATGAAGAATCATGCAGTGTTCATGCACAGAACATAACATACAGTAGTTGTAGTTCACTCACAGAGAAATACTCATGGCAGAGGTTGAGCAAGTCAGCCACTCAATCCCACTTCAAAATGCGTAAGCTTAAAACATTCATGTTTGGTCACTTAACCCTTTAACTCCCAGAAGTGATTAACATAAAACTTCTCCCTACAATATCCATACATTCTTCAGCAAACAGGAAATGAGAATATTCAAACTCATCAGGTAGAAGCTGCTGTCTTGATCTAGCACCAAGTTCTCATAACAAATTTTTAAGGAAATGTGTAGCAGCTACAGGGGAGAATTAATGATCAGATCTTGGAAGTTAAAGGGTTAAAAGTCAGTTACATTTCAGTAATTACACTAAAATATAAAAGGACCAAGAATCATGCTAACAAGCGATAAATTGAACTTTACCACTTCAATACGCTCTAAATGCTATTGTAGAGAAGTAAGTTTGAAAAAATTAAGATCGTGATCATGAATTTTTCAAAACACCTCGTGGAGAGTCCATAGTGTAGGGAAAATTAGATTATTGGTGAGCTGACATTGTTACTGTAAGAGATACAGCAAACTAAAACTGCATGTTAGTGCTGTGGTCAAATGTTTTTCTTTGTTCTCAGAGAGAAAGGCTGAGGTTAGATTCCTTATGGAGAGTCCGAATTAATTTTTTTGTCCCCCGCACGGGACAAGACGAAAAACATCTTTCTTTACAACTCTTTTCTTGATTTGAAAAATTTTCCAAGAGTTTCTTTTTTTTTTCCTTTGCCTTGTGTGGTTTAAAAATTTGAGAATAAGTAAAAATTTGAACCAGCACCACAATATGCGATACAAACCAACGATGTTTGCCTATGGATTTCAGATATCCACCGCATGAACGTGGTGGAGGTGGCAGCAGTGCAGGTGGTGGAAGCAGTTACTCCAGCAGTGAGCGTGGTTATGGCCCACCCATGGATAGAGGTTACGGCAGCTCAGACCGTTACAGTAGTGCCGAAAGAGGATACTCCAGTGACAGAGGTTATGATGACAGGTAAATAGTGTCTCTTACTGTAGACTTTCAGTTACCTTTTGAGCCTGCGTTCTTCTGGCATTACCCTTAGACAAAGGGCGCAGTCTCTTATGACAGACGGTGCCGTTACTGCTCCATAAGTGGCGAATTCGCGAATGCCGTGTTAAAACATGGTGATGAATGATAGTCGGTTTCTCTAGCTTCTTCGTCTTTGTTGTTTATGAAGCGAAGTGCCGAACGAGAGAGAGAAAACCCTTCATTTAGCTGGACAGATTTACTTTACTGACTTATCAGTAACCTCGATGGTATTGCAGGTACTCAGTAAAGTTACAAATTCTCTTATAATGCTTCATTATCCAACGAGTGTCGTACTCGTAGTCGTATCTATGTTAAAAGAAAAATAAGCTGGTGGCTGGCCCTAAAGCACAATGCACTGTGTAACACATCAGTTTTTGTTTATTAGGTATGGAGGCAGCACTGGAGGTTCCGGAGGCGCTTCACATGATCGATATCTTCCAGAGAGAGGCAGCTATGGTGGTGAGCGTCAGGAAAGGGGTGGTTATGACTCTTATGGCAGTAGTGGAGGAGGCTATGGAAGCAGTGAGCGAGGTTATGGTGGACCCGAGCGTAGTTATCCCCCACCTGATCGTGGGTATGGGCCCCCTCCTGAGCGAGCGAGATCGGGAAGCTACGGTGGACCTCCCGCTGAAAGGCCGTATTCATCTGGAGGGTCCTATTCCGGAGGTGAGTGGTGACGAGAAGATGAACTCTTTCAACCCAGAGTTCGGTAATAATTTATGTTATCTCCAAAATACAGACACTGATTACAGAGGAGATGTGAATTACTTAAAGTCACAGTGCATTGAGTCTGCTAAATCATTCTTAAGCAAGCCTGGTGTGTGGGACTAATTCTACCTTGTATGGATGAAAAAAAATTTTTTTTCCGGACTTCTTGCTAACATTTTGGCTTTACTGTTCTTCATATTGGAAATTTCGCCCCAGCTATCGTGATCTTTTTCAGTTTAGTCCGGGAAACGTGGCGCGAGTGTTCACTAAAAATATATATTTTTAGCACGGTTGCTGAGTTGTCAGTAGCCTCTTTGGCACATGAAGATCATCAACCAGTCAACAAGGAAATAGTGCTGATGTGAGACTAGGGCATGGGAACCAACCCGGTTGAATTAGTGTTATTCAATTCCACCCTCCTCTCTCTCTCTTTCTCCCCCCCCCCCTCCAAGATAATGGAATACTTGTATGTTCTAAATGAGTGAGAATGCACCAGATGGTTATTTTGATGTTGTGGTAACCTCCTGGTGGTTACTGCTCGGATTTCTGACGGTGGTTTTTATTATGCTATCATTGTTTTGGAGAAAATAGATGTAAAAGCCTTGTATCTCTCACCTCTCTAAAGAATCTGTTACCTCAAAAGTAGGTTTATGACCGAATCAGTCGAAGTTGAAAAGCTACATCCACTCCAGTTTATATGGTACTAAAGTTATACGCGCTACATACCTCGCTTTTTCAGTTACCAGTAATTGATTGTATCCCAATTGTTAATGAAAGGGGAATGGTAAAATTTCGCTCATCTTTACGCAGAGTGACAGCTTCTTGATTTTCGTACTCCGTAAATTCGCATCCATCCGGCAGTATCTCGGAATTGCTTATTTGTTCACTGCCACATTTAATCTTACAGGGTATTCATATTCAGTTCATATCCTGAATCGATCCACAGCGTAACAAGTTAGTCGATGTGGTACATTAAGTTGAGAGGCCTGTTTCCCTTCGCCGTCTCATATCTTGTACGTGTTTTTATCTCTTTAAAGCAGGAAAATCCGTATGATCTATACAAGGTGTAGCGGTTATCACCACTGGACATACTGTGCCTCGTGCATCAAAGTATCATTTTGTCCTGTATGTCTAATTGTGTAATTTACATTTCGTTTGAAGGCCGCGACTGGTGATGAGGTGCCGAATCGCGCTCTCCGATCCTGCGGTGACCACCGAAGTTTCTTGCCGATGCACTTTAATTTGTTCCAGTTACAGATTTTCCTCGTACCTTGACTGTAAAGTAAACGCTTAAGTTCGCTTAATCAGTTCATCTGTTGCCGAACCCATCTTTGCAAATCTTCGAATGTCTAATAACGAACTGAAATCCGCTTTGTTAACGGACCTTGTAGATTCTCCTCGATTTTCGTACCTTCGGCATCATATGTGTATATGCGTGTAGCTTGTGGAATTTCGAATGTTGCAATGCATAGCGCAGACTTAAAGTAAATAGTATCTTGCTTTCATGTGCACATTTTGACTGAACGAATCGCCGTTTTTTTAGCAATTTTTATGTACTGATTGTGAGAGGGCTTGGAGGTAGTGTTAAAAATGCTTTTTTGCGCAAGTAGAGCTGTTTCTTTTTATTGCAAATAAAGAGTTGTATCCTGAAAATCCGATGTTTCATTGATTGCCGACTCGAGTTCAAGCAGCTACGATGTTCGACCGCTGTGGTAAAATGCAATGTCTTAAACTAACCGGTACATAGCTACGGATAAACTGAAAGCTGCGTTCGAAATAAATTTTTGAAGGCTTTTCTATTTTCATCTATCGTTGAACTCTGATTGTTTAGCTCGGAGCACTGCCTCGCTTCCATTTTCCGACTATCTTCATCTACTGTCTTTTCATGAGCACACAAGAAGCCAGCCGGTTTCACGGCGATTCTGTCTTCGTCCCTTTCTGTCTAAGTAGGAAAACTTCGAATGCAAAGAAACAAATTAAACAGTTCGACAAGTCGCAACATTTGTGAAGGAAGTTGAGGTCCAATCCTCCGACTAAAAGCCTTACCACATCAACTGTCAAAGGTTCGCAATGTCGTTCAAAAGACCTTGACGAGGTGTCTTCTCGATCCCTGTACTTTCGATCATCGAAAACGATGGCTTGCAGTCTTATCCGTAGCTATTCTGACGGTCTGTTATAAACTGAATATTTGCATGTTCTTAAACTGATTACGTTCGTCTTACTCTCAGCGGAGAGAGTGCAACCTTCAAGCATTGGCTGCTGTATATAATACAAACATTCAATTGTTGTATTATCACGCAAGGCCTCATGTTTCGAGGGCTGCAAGATTTAACTAAGCGGCTTCGAATTTCTGGCTATGATGAATTTAAAGTTTCTTCTCGAAACGATCACCTTGATGCCTTAAATTTATGTCGAGTGGTCAGTTAAAAATTTAACAAGTCTACATGACCAAAAAACGTATGTAATTGTGAAATATGGTAACTCTAATAACCAATTGAATCCTACGCGTCGATATGCACGGTCTTTACCGTAACGTCTGTCGAATCGATGTTTTATTTGACTCCGTGCAGTTTGACTTACAAGATTGTGATAAACTAGTTGCATAAACAGAGGTTTCACAGAGAGAAAATCTCTCTTGTCATAAACCTTCGCGCATTGTTACCTCTGCCTCACTTTCATGGTCTTTCTTTTTGTTTCCCTTTTTCTCTTCCAAGTATTTAACCCTGTACACCCTCACGTGGTATTCTTATACTTCACACTGTTATCTTTACTTTTCTTATGATACTGACAAAGAGAATTTGTTTGACAATCACGATGTTTTAAATTACTTATCATTTCCTTTATAAAAGTGACCTTTACATTTGATTCAAGGGGTATACTGTAGAGGATATTAGAAGCTTGTCACTCTAAGGGCCAAAAGGTTGAGTGTAACGTAGAAAAAATTATCCAAATACCTTATTTCCTCAAATAGGCGCCCGTAGTCGAATAAGCACCCACCCCCTGGGCCAATATATCAAACAAGTGCCTTTCTCCTCTCGAATAACCCTTGCCCTTCCCTCACTTTTCTAACCAGTATTAAGGAAAGGAAGACCTGTTGCTATTACCACTTGATTAATAACTTTTTAAGCCTCAACTACAGCTGAATTAGTGCAGGTTCAACGGTTCTTAATTGGCGCCTTACTTCCATTAAGCGCTCCTCTTTTTAGCCAGAAAATCAAATAGGCGCTTATTCGAGGAAATACTATACTCCATAGGAGATTTGAAGTAGGGGGAGTCAGGGACGATTATTTGAATTTAAGATCATAAAACGGGGTTAAACAACCCAAGACGAACGTCATTTACCGATGAATGTCATACCACAGCCCTTACAATTCCTAGATAAATTAAGTTCTATCTTAAGTCGTTGATTGTGATGAATGCGCTCAAACTCCCAGCGATTGAAGGTAGGTAAATTGTAACCGCTAAACTACCGTGTTTTGTTGCCAAGGTAAATCTTACAGTTTCCCCTCTTTCTGGAAACTCTTTTTAACGTGCCGACAAATTGCCAAACCGTTCAAACACCGCATGAAACGTCGTGTGGTTGGCGAAGTTAGTTCTCTTGCATCTGGTATATATGATCGGTCGAATGATCTATCAGTGAGCGATGAGTATGTCAGTTCTTGTCCGAATCAGCTTGTCGAGAAATTAAGCGAGTTTAAGCCATCAACTGAGGCTAACCTTTGTTTTTAAGCCATGCAGTCATTTATCAGTTATTAGGCTGAAACCGAGACTACTAGTCAGTAGTGTATTGTGATCTTCTAGGTGAGACTTTCACGGTAAGGACTGTTATTATTAGTAGTAGTGGCTGAATGTTTGCCAATCTAAGTGGAAGTCAGCGTGAGAGTTAACTGAGGAGCTGTTCATCAGTCGCCTTTGAGAAATTGTGCGGATGGCCTCTTCATAGGCTGTTGGACCATATTCTCTTAGTTGTTATTCAAGGCTATTCAAGTCATCTCGCTAATTTCGAGTGTGTGGTAGAGTTTCTTTTGTCTTTGGTTTGTGCTTTATTTCAGCACGGAGTAACTTTTTAAAGTTACTTTTTATTTGAGTTATTTTCCATATCCACGCCCGTTTTATTTCAGCAGTTGACTTTCTTAAGGTTTACTTAACATTTACGTTCGCATTTTTCAATACCATGTGAACAAGCTATGAATGGCAGTACAGTACTAGTTGGGAAGCAATGAGATACCGCACCATCGAGGGGCCTTGTTGATTTCGTACGACTTGATTGGTTGTATTGTTGCGTCTCTGAGAGCCTGCATTTAGGGTCCTTTTTTTTTCTGGTCCCTTTTTTCCAAACTCATCTTATTCACTAGTTATTTATTAAGAATCATAGTTGCGGAAATCAGAGAGATGTGGAATTTTTTGTATCCTTTTTGAAATTGTCTGGTTTTTCTCAGTTTGCTATACCAGGATTACAACTTTTTATGAGTGGAGACGCCGAATGCTCTTTCATTATTTTTTTTTTTTTTACTTTAAAGCGAACGTTGGGCTATTATTACGGAAATGATCAAAATACCACGAAGACGAGAAAATCTCGACTGTGATTGTGTAGTAATTGTCAGCTTTACACTTTTTACTCCGTTCTTTATGTGTTCTCCGAAAGAAAGACGGGCTATCTAATGCCCCCGTATGCATTAGCAATTCACTCTTCTGGGAGCGTGTTACAGGAATGGTGAAGCGCTCCAAAGGCGAGTCTAGTCGAGCGTTCATATTTGTTTCTCTGCTTGTTTGACAAAGATGAGCACTGGAAAATTTGGTTTTGTGGGTTAAAGTATGATAATCGGCTCGGAACAAAAGAAATTAAATACAGCAGGTAAGCAGACGTGACCAGCCATCCCAGACATCGAGACGGAACACAGTTTACCAAGCCTTTGAAATAGTATTACTGAATATTGGTACATCCTGGCAGGACTATTACATCGTCAGGCGATCAAATTTGTCTTTTGTAGTAAAGTCTGTTTTCGTCGTAATTGCAGGACCTGTCAAGTTTCACTAATCATAACGTCGCGTTCCGGAAGACAGTTGCGTCCCTGCAATCTCTTGGTTTTTTTTTTTTTTTTTTTTTTTTCTGTCAGTTTCGTGCCAAGCCTCTCGCCGCCGCCTGTTTCACAGCTCAGCTGCACGTACTGCAGCACTAATGAGACCCTGTTCGCTGGCTAAGATGTAGCTTAGAGAAGTTGTAACTAAATTTAGACTCTTGGAATATGGATCGCATGTGAATGCTGACAATGGGGTACCATACGCCTGCCGAGAAATCAATTGTGCGTTATGGAGCAACACAGCGCCGCTTAAATTTGCGGATAACGTTTTCGCTCTAGAAAGGCAACTAATCGTTCTATCCTTGCCCGTCCCTGAATTTCCTTAATATTTTCGTAAAGTTTTAAACACCCCCGAAATTTCCTGTGTTTATTCCTTTTGACGAAGGGCTAACGCTTTAGAAATTTCACGCCGGTCAATTTACATTATCAACTCAGTTCATGAAACCGTTTTATCTGTTTGGGGAAAGGCCTTCCCCCAGAGATAAGGACAAATAAGAAATCGCTATCTGTAGGGTTTGGAATTGTATTTCTAAAAGATTCGTTATTTTTGAAGTCGTAACTATCTCATAGGGATTTGGAATGTTTTTGAGTGCGTTAAAACAGATGACGCTCTCTTTTTTTATGACCCTGCATTGTCAGTTCCTTCCAGCGGTCCGGAGGTGCACGGTTAGTTGCTAAGAATTCGAGAGGTGGTCATCTACAAGTCTGGTGTATTGAAGATACGCTGTTAGTGGCAGACCATGTCATTTGAAGTAGCAATATCGACGAAATGTAGTAATAAACCTTTCCCTCTTGTTTGTCTGTAGATGAATTGCTCTACAACACTAGTACGTCATAGATCGCAAACCTGCACTTTGTCATTCTTGAACGATAATCGTTTTGAAATATGTCAGCTGTCGCAGCTGAGGTACTCTTTCGACAGAATCCAGACTTACTAGGATTTTAGGGCTTTTACTTGAAGAGATCCGTCGTTGCTGAGGGAACCGACTAGACGTATGACTCGACTTTTGTTATCTAAGTGAGTATCTTGTGCGGTGAAGTGTGCAATCTCACGCCTTATTTTTTGTACGCGGAATTGATTTCTAACGTTATCAAAACATGGCAAGTCTTTTGTGCTGTGAAGAGGCCAATTTCTTGTTTTAGTTTTTTTATGCTGAATTTCTGACTGACGGTGTTGAGAAAAACTGAGTCTGAACATGGCGGGTCTCGCAAGAAAAAAGGGCGAGTTTCTGACCCCGCTTTTTGTGTAAGCAATTCATTCCTCACGGGATGGAAAACAAGGAAGAAGATGGCGATTCCGTTGCAAGAATATTGGTCAATTTTGTTCCATGGCTTTTACTCGGAGTAATTTTTCTAGATATGGCGGGTCTATTTTGAAGAAAGAGGCTTATTTCGTACCTTTTTTTCTGCTCGGAATTGATTTCTAACTGTCTTTAAGACTAGTCTAAACATGGAGAAATCACTGAAAACTTTGACACACCTTTTATAGTCAACTTCAGCTCTTTTTTGGCGAGAGTATGGGGAGATTCTCTCAAGTGTCGTTTATTGCTCAGTTATTCGCGTTCTACCGAATCTTATTGTTGCTGTGAAGAATTGTGAAACGTCGAGTAAAGTTGTTTAAATGATGTTTTGTACTTTTTTACTTTCTTTCTCTAAAACGTCTGAAGCACGTCACAAAGCTAAAGTTATTTTTATTATTAGTCTTCCTCTTTTGTTGTTTCGATTGTTGTTTTTTCCACAACAACTTTTAAACCTTGCTCATTTTTGTTGTTCATACAAGGGCAGTTTCTTCCAAAAGTTGAAAAAAAATACGTAAAAAAAGTTTAAAGCAAAATTCAGTCGAGAAGATCAGAACTTTAATATATAAGATCAGATCAGTTGAAAGGTCAAACGAATGGTAGACATTACACATGTTGATGTCCGCTTATAATTTTTTTTTTCTCATTGGAATTCACTGTACTTAATTTCGTGCTAAATGTCCGTAAACGCAGCTTCATATCAACAAGAGAGAAATAAAAAAGAATCACCTGAAAACTCATCTGAACAGAGTCGGCTCTGCAACTTCGCACCCGATCGCTCAATATTCTGGGTTTACCTGTATTGAGATCCAACATACTTAAAAGTTGTAACTTGCTCTGTGAAAAATGGACTAAGATACAGGTGATTACAGGAATAAACCTGTACCCAAAATCTGTACCTGATAATCCATCAATTCTTCCTTTCTCCTCAAAGAGGCAGTTCGAAGTACAAGTCGAAATTCGTTTTTTTGATATTTTTATAGTCGTGAAAGAAAACACCGCAGACTATTGTTAATGTCATTTCCGTTTTAAGTTATTTCTTGTGAGAAAGAAGATTACGATTGTTGATTTTACCAGAGTTTTCATCATCAACATGAAAGAATCCGTGTTTGGTCAACCTGAGGGTTTTCATGTCTCTTTTTTTTTTATAATTTATCAAGGTGGACAAGTTGCTGCTTGTTCGAAAGTGGCCGATTTTGGCTCGGAAATGAAAATAACAGGAAGGTCAGATTTTTGTGGTTAAAGGTAAAACGAAGTGACTTGTAAATGCGTGGGAACCTTCCGATGGCTTTGTTTTGCAATCGGAGTGTGCTTGTAAAGACTTTTGTTTTTAGCGGGTGTGTGAAACAATGCGCTAAAACAAAACACACTTTCGAAACAAAGCTAAACACGTGCTCTGGAATATGGCCTTGTAATGTTTTATTTACAGTGCGATTTATGGATTTCACAATGCCTCCGTAGAGCCACAATGTATCACGTCCCAAGTTCGTGTAGGCCATTCCAAGAGTCGTTTGTTTATCTTGCACAGTCAATTAGCTCAAATCGTTCTCACGGCCTCCGACTAAGCTGGTTTTAAGTGTCTGCTGTAATAACGGAAAAAAAAAACTGGCATTCGCCGTCTCTATTTATAATCTGTCTCTAATATGCCCGCCAGACTTCCAGTCTCGTTGGTTAAATGGCTTTTATACGTTATAATTACTTTAGCATTTAACTTTTTGGTTCAGTATACCCGTCCTCACGCGCGCTTCGAACTTGAATGCCGACTCTTGCTGTTGGCTATCCAAGTCTGGCACTATTTGCATAACGCATGCTGAGAGGGTTTTGTTTCGCACAACAAGCGACCAATGGCAGGACTGCGTTCTCACGCTCTCTTTCTCAGCTGCCAGCGAACGCCAAAATACCATTCATGCGACAAAAATGCAGGCTCTTTAAAACAAAATGCGATGATAATAAGCCGGGGTTGGGAACTTGTAGACAAGGATTTTCCCACGGCTCGGAAGGTAAATAAAACGCCATGTTCACCAAAGTTCACTTTCATTTGTCCTTGTGACGAGTCGAAGGAGGAGATCGTGAAAATTGCTCAGACGTTGTAGCCTCGGGGAAAAAAAAGCCTTAAAAAAGATAGGGATGGTGCAAGAATCTACGAAACTGGAAAAGGAAAATGATTCAGAAAACCGGAAGGTATACAATGGTCTGGATTTTTCTTACGAAATCCTGATTTTTCGTAGCCATGCTTACCTTCGCTTCTTTTCTTACATTCGCCTCTGGAAAGCTTTCTTTCAAAATATAGCGTGTGTGAAACATTTTAAGTCTAACTAGCTTGAGGAATATAGCTGTCAACAACCTCTTAACTAAATTAAAATCCGTCTATTTTCGTTTTAGTGGTCTAAACCAATTATGGAGAAGAGAAGGCGCGAACGAATCAATCGAAGCCTAGAAGAACTGAAGAGATTAGTGCTAGAGGCACAGAATAGAGATGTAAGTATTTGCTGTGTCAGCAGAAATGTATCTGCATTATTTTAGAACAAGTGTTCGATGAGGGTCGCATTCAAATGAAGTAAATCTTTTGTTCATTTGCTGCTTGTAAATTTAGAGGAAATGTTAAAGTTACTGGCGCTATAGGCAGGTTATCATAGTGGCCCTTTCTGTTTTGCCAAACATTGGATTCCATCAGTTTGCGGTTGATATCGCGGAATCTTACCAAAGAAGTAAGACATATGGGTATTTTTTGTACCGCGTGACTGTACAAAGTCTATACAAGTTGCGTTTTAGCGTGCTTTTGCAAACAAGCTTTCTGTCAATCGTATTTAACATCCGTGACATCTGTTTTGTCTCGAGGAAAGAAAGAGACCGTGAACTGTCGTGAGTGGGTTAATGAAATTAGAGTATCAATGATGTTAGCATTTCGTGGTTGAGACGATGGGGTCTTTCTCTCTGTTAAGGGTCGTTGAAGAAAATTCCAGTTTAACGCTCCAAAAACAGTTTAAGTAATAAAGTTTGATTTCAAAATTGATAATTGCAGAGTTCTCGGTACACAAAGCTGGAGAAGGCAGATATCCTGGAGATGACTGTCCGTTATCTACGTAGTCTTCGACATCACCAACGAGCAGGTAAATTTTACCTCCTCTGGGATAATGACACGTTAATATACAACTAATAAATGTCAGTACATGTTGCCGTTATTTCAATTGCTCAATTGTGAATAGTTTATGACTAGTAGTACGTTTTAAGCATTTTAAGCTTATGTCACTAGATACGACAGGTGCAACCTGTAACATTTGGAAGACTTTTTAATCTCTCAATTATTAAGTAATGAAGACATTGACGTGGGTTGAAAAACAAAAGAATCATTGTGATGTTTATTATGTTAGGTTGCAAAAACACCGTCTACGGCTGGAAAAACTTAAAATATACCTTTATGTACAATATAAAAGTTGAAAAAACTCGTGGCAAGAACGCTATTAGGAACAAGTAAAAGTAATATATTTTTTGGGGGGTTATCTTTACTATGGTTCGAGCAAGAAGCAGGTTCATTAGCTTATGTGTCTTAATTCTCAACCGCTTCAGGATGTTTAAGTGAGTCGCTTGTGTATGGTCCATTGCTTTGGGGTTTTTAACTCGATAACACTAACTCTTATACTGCGGCTTTAGATTCATTGAATTGACCTAGAGGCACGCTGTAAAATACTATTTTATCTCAACTCCGTGGATAACTCGATAATTCGATTTGAGTTTGAAAATCATCTCGTCCGAGAAAGCTTCTCTCTCAAACAAACAAAACAATCTAATCCATTTTAAGCGATGATCAAAAGAAACCCTTGTGGTCGAAAGGTCATCTTGATAAACAAATTTAGTTTAAAGTCCTCTCCATTTTGATACTGGTAGCCTTTTTTGGGAAGATCTAATGGAGTTCAAGCAGAAGGAAGGCCAAAAAGCACTGATTAGTTTGTGTGATTCTTTGAAAGCCTGGATAGATTTTGCAATTTACCAGAAATAATTTTTAGAAAAGAGAGAACAACTTGAACCTTAAAAATTCAGTGATTCATGTTCATACTTCTTCAAGGTTTCTTTTCTTCTTTCAGTCGCCATGCTGCTTTACTGTGTGAAATATTTTGATTTTGAGGTCTACGCCAGCCTTTTACCAACGAAAAAATTATTAGAGTAGGGCAAGTGTCCTCAGTTTATACAGAAAATCCTCTTTCCCTTACAGTTTTGCGTTTTAAAAATGTTCTCTGTTTCTAGTGATGGCGACTGCCGACCCTCACATGCTACTCAAGTACCGCGCCGGCTACAGTGCATGCGTGGCCGAGGTGTCCAAAAACGTGATTGGGGACGATTCCTTGGAACCTGATGTAAAAACTCAAATCCTTTCTCATTTAACGGGCTGCCATGCAAGTCAGAGGGGAGCTGGTGACATTACAATACAGTCGCCCGCAAGATATCCATCATCAGTTCACTATGAGAGCACTTCGGACCTTTCCGTGAAGGAACAAAGACGGTTGTTACCTAAGGACACTACGAATTCGCATGCATCCCCAGCTCGTACCACAGTTTCTCCTTACATGGTTCAAAGCCATCGAGTACTTTCTTCACCAGGGACCATTCCTCTGCATTATGTCCCCGTCTTAGGTACCGACTCTGGGACCTCTTCAGGATTGTACCACGCGCTGGTCCCAAGTGTATCTTCTCCCGGTTTACACCTCACAGACCCTTTGTGGCGACCTTGGTGATCAAAGTTGCGAAACATTTTTATCAAATATTAAGGAATAGAATTATAGCGTAAATAAGGAGTTTAAAAAGATGGCTAAAGTAATCGCGTTTATCTCCGAGAGAAAGTTTTCACCTTAAATTTAGACGCTACATGTGAGAAATTAATTTTTAAAAAAATACACTGCTATTCAATAGGTCTCCCTTACGTCTTTCTCCCAAACGTTTAAATTCACTTGAAAAATCGTAAGGTATTGATGTTTTCAGCGTACAATTTAGATTGGCTCAATTCGATCACTCCATTATCGCATTTTTAACACGCATTTCTGTAAAACAGCGACTGAGCCGACACAATGAAAGTTAGAAATGAAAGTATGAGTATTTTTACCTTGTTGTTCCATGATGCAAAATGGCAGATGCTTGAGAAATAATGTAAATAGTATCGAATGACTTTAGAATTAAAGCAAGTGCAAATTCCGTTTCTTTCTCGTGCTTTTTTTGTTTCTTATTTGAAGTAATGTTCATGAATATATTTATTACAAGCCCGATACGAGGCTTTATGATCAAAATAGGCTGTTTTCCCAGGATCTGTACAATTCTAGAATTTTTAAACTACTCTTAGTTTGACCCCAAAAGTCAGCTCTAAAGTGTTACTCTTGGAAGAAGAAAACTCTTACGTAATATACTGAGGAAAACAATGGCTTTAAGGGTCGGCAGTGATAAATACTGAAGGCCAAGTTTTACGGTAGAGACGTGCTAAGTTTTCGACGAGTAAACGAACTCGCTCATCTTCAGGGTCTGGGCGGTCCGGGTTCGATTGTCACGTCGAATAAAAAAAGAATTGCAGCGTACTTAAACTTCAAATTTATTGATTCGAATGGAGGGGATGAGAGACTAATGCGGGTTGTAAGTGATGAGTATAACTGCACCAATTTTGAATGTGCCTGAGGTGTCGACTCTTGGTTTCTTCATGCCTGTCTCTATTGTGGCCGCGCTTTCAGCTGCCACGCAGCGCTTTTTCGAAGATCCTATAAACACGAGTGTTCCGTTAATCTTTTCATCTCCGCGGGAAAACATGTCTGCTAAAAGAAAGAAAACTGGGAAGGAGAGGCATAAATCTTAGTAGCAATCCTCGAAGAGTGATTAGCGATAGCCTTGCGTTAGCGCGCTGGAGTCCAAATTTTAAGAGGTCTGGGTTCGAGACCTGGACGGGTCATTGTGTTGTGTTCCTTGGTGAGTAGCCTGTTCCAGGCGTTCAGTTATTAAAACGAAGCGAGATAGTAAACGGCGGAAGAGAGAAAAAAACGAAGGGGGTTAGGGTTTGGGTCCTCTCCCTCCCCTTTTCAGTCCGCGGATACTATTGCGCTGATTAGTCTTTCAGTTGCTCCCTTTAATAAATGAACGCCCGGAACAGGCTATTGGGCAAGACACTCAACAACCACAGTGCCTCTTTTCCCCAGGGGTGTAGATGAGGGACAGGGACAGCCCCCTTGGAGTGTAGATGGGTATAACCGAGTCGGCAGGGACACCTAACGGAATTCCGGGAGGTGTGAACTGCATCCGGTTTAGGGGGAGTTGCAATTCAACCAGTGGCAATGCAACTGTCGGCCAGAAAAGGCTCCGGCAGAATGAGTCACTGATTTACCTTACTCTTGAAAGACTAAGGTGAACTTGGTGTTTCATTTACTACAATACTTCATTTCATTATATTACCTCAGCTTTGCTTTAAGTAATAAAATTGATTTTTAAAATCATTATAATATTGCACGATGTTTCCTTGGTTGTTGTTTATGGATATCTTGGATTGAAGTACAATCGCTCATTTTCAGTATGTCGTTGTTCCTAATTAACCTTCAAAGCACTTGATATCGTCCAAAAAGCGACGTTCTGCTTCACCCCTGCCTGCTCAGTTTGGTTGTGTATTTATTCATCATTATCAGTGGGTCCTACATTCACAAATCAATCAATTCCTACATCATTCTGGTTGACGAGACCTGGGAATACTCTCTCATAGCGTGAATATCCGATATATTACCCGTGTCCATTCATTCACCACCGCCTGATGACTGACGCTTTATTGGAAATTACACAAAAATGTGTCCTAAAGTCCCAGGCACCTCGGCCACTTAAGCTTTGTCGATAGGTGTAATGTCCTCTGTACTACTTTTTTGTATCTTGTGGGATTGTTTACCCCCGCTGGGAGAGTTCATTAAGCGAAGCCTCAGTTCCCTGATTTCTTTGTCTTTCTGCATGGTTAAAAAAAAAAAAAAAAAAAAAAAAGAGAAGAAAATATATGAGCTTTAAATGTTTGATCACACAATCATATATATGACCGTTACATATCAGGGGCTAGAATGTAATAATTGTATCTTGGGGCTGAAAATATGAAAGCGTCGGTATTATATTGAGTTTGGTTTGACATGTACCAAATCTGGCAATCAAGCGCGAATTGAAATCATCTCAACGAATCAGATGCAAGACAAAAAAAGCAATACGACCAGGAAACTCGATTTTTCCCGCACTTGTTCCATTCGCTCCTTGCGTATTTTCCATTCCTGTGATCGGATGCTGCGATTGCCCTGGTTTTACTCTGATAGCATTGAACCATCAATGTTCTTTATTGGGTTAGTTACGTGACAAGGTTAGTTAACTTACAGCCTTTATCTTATCCCCTTGCACTTAAAAGGCTAACAAATAAACAGGTGAAAACAAAGCAAAACAAAACAAAACAAGAATGCTTGTATGATTAAGTTATTTTGGATGAACTTTTCTAGTAAGTGTGTAAGGAGTCTATTGAGATCAGTATTGTGCAGTAATCTAACTATAGGTAATGTATTGCGAGAGAGAGTTTGTATCTTAAATAACGTATGGTCTCGGGGATAGATTTTGATAAAAATTTTTAAAAAATCGTTTAAAACTACAGAGTAATTTCTATTCTTACCTCAGCCATTTTCCTCTTGAGTTCCATCAGTTGTCGTTCTGTCTCGATATCCATTGTTGGCATAGTGTTGTTTGTTTCAATAATTAAGTTATTGGTGGTAAACGTTCGGCACAATTCCTCACCAACCAGTCTAGCACGTTTCATTTCTAGCACCTTAATGCAAAGATCGATTAATTAGATAGATAGTTAGGTAGATAATTAAAGAAGGTAACTAGAATTTGCGATACAAGATGCTACCTAAATTTTTATGATGCGCTGAATCTTCCACGCGTTATGATTGGTTCTTACATATGATCAATACGAAGACAGATGCATAGATAACGTCACCATAAACAACACCTTGCTTTTTCGTCATTTAAAAAAAAAAAAAACTGGAAAACAAGAAGATTGCACATTGTGGTGGGTCTGTTCAGTAAAAGATCACCCATGACATCAAAATGTGGTTAGAAGAAAAAAGTGGCACACGAAGCGCACCTAGCTTGTTGACGTCATCTGTGACCTATTATTGAACGGACGCACGGCAACATAGACTATTTGTGTTCATGACTCTTAATAAAAATTATTTACCTTCGGTATGAACACAAGACACAGAGTAATAGAGGTACAGATGATAATGCAAACAGAGATAATAGAAAACGAAGCATCTGGTTCTTCCCTCATGGCCAATGATATCGGCGCACCAATAACGCACAGGATAAACACGTTGTATACAGACATACCAATGTACCTACAAAGAAAAATGCATCACCGGTTAACGAGACATACGCAGTGGTAGTTATTCTCAACAATGTAGACCTAAACAAAGTTTTTCAAAGATCTTAAAGAAACAATATTTATTTTTCAATATATACCAACCTAGTCGACTCTGAAAAATATATTCCTCGAAAATCTAATATACTAGATTAGTTAAATCTGCTCCACTCAAATCTCATCAGTAATTTTCTTTACTGTCTACTGTATAATACTAATAATGTTAGTTTAGGGAATTTAGTATTGGATCAACTTACGATCCCTAATGATATTTTATTTTATTCTCGTCACTTTTCTGCTTTATAATGTATTGATATTCTACCGAGAAATTCTGTCTTGGTCGCTCATGGGAGTTAAACGATAATTCTGATTGACATAATGGCTGACGTATTCGCGATGGTTGTCTTTCAGTTCATAGAGCGGACCTACCCTCCAAACTAACGGATTTGCTCGTCCATAAAACAATCAGAAAAGTCTTTCTTTGTTTGACATAGTATACTGATGTATGTAGAATATAGGTTTTTTGAAAGAATTCTATCAGCCTTCATGGAAAGCTGGAGCTCGTCTGCCCACTTCTAGGCAGTGCGGTGGCAAAAAAACCAAAAATTTTTACTTCTTGATGCACAGCGTACTTGGAATCATTTAGCGCAGGTATTGAAACGTTTCTTGTTTCCCATGCAAGGAACGCCCCAAATAACAATAGTAGTCCTTTGTAGCCACACAACACACCAAGCCAGCGGTATGTTAATCGAGATTCGCACAGCTCCAGCTGCTTCACTAAAGTAATGTCCAAATCGGAATCTAAGGACTGAAAACAAACAAACAAACAAACAAAAACGGGTTAGCCGTTAACAATAAATTATGTTTAGTATGAGCCTACATGTCACAGTTGAGAGCAGGTATAGCACATTGCCGTTTGCCAAGAGGAAATAATTTTGTCTTGCACTTTCTTGGGATTCCACCCACAAAAAGGGCGACACGTTTTTTTTGTGAGGTTCGTAATGTTACAAATAAATTCCTTTTTTTTCGCATTATGCGATAATTACGGAATAGTTTATCCGCAGTCAAGTTGTCACGTTTAAGTAATAAACGGGTAACATTCCATCTGGCAACTTAAATGATGATCGCCATTATTAACGAGAAAAAGCATTTATTGGATGAGTCTGAGCACAATGGCGATAGGGGAATAGCACAATCAACGTTTTGATAATTCTCGCTGTCATGTGCACACAAAGTCTGAGAATTGTTACTAAACATAGGAAGAGGCAAAGTGTTTTATGTTGTCCTTTTAAAAGCAAAATATTGTTCCCGCAAGACACGAAAAAGCCGTGCAGCGTCAAACTATTGAAAATTTATCATATTACATGATAGTTCTCACCTCTTTCACAAACTCACGCACAATTCTTGTCATAGGATCCATCAGTTGCCAGACCGTGAGGTAGATGACGTCAGCAGTTACAAGAAGACAGACAACGGCAAATAGATGTCGGTCTTTTACAACCTGAAGAACGTAAGCGCAGAGCCAGTGATATCGTCAAAAGCATAGAACAATTTTTTCTCGTGAGAGCCAACGTATTTTGCAGACAATCACCTACGAGTTGTAAGATTTGACAGCTGTTCATTAATATTTGCGATCAATAAACCACAAAATTGCTAAGAGGTTTCTGTTACCCCTCTTGGATAACTGAAAGTTAAACTAGCATTTTATTATGCTATTTTGTTTTTACTCAAGAAAGTAAAGCCAGCTTTTAAATCAAGTGCCTGCGTTGAAAAAGAGATCTGAACTTCAGTTTGCTTTACAACGTTAATCACCTTTCGTTTTAATTTTTTGTTGGTAAATATTAAATGTACTCGCCAGGTCTTGGAAAACATGGCGCCATATGCAAGACTGAAACCAAGAGAGAGGGTCCAGGCTCTGCTCTGAAAAAAAAAGTTCGGAAAGTGTCAACTTGAGATTTTAAGCTGACACTCGAGATATGTGCTTGAAATTCCTCACATTTGAAAAAGCAGTTAAGTCGCAATTAACAATTGAGTTCAAATTTGGCGGAGGCTGTCATCATCCTATCGATAAAATAGAATATTCAGGCAATTTAAACAGCTTTAGGCATCATGGTTATGGTGCGGACACATTTCTAAAATAAAAGCAACTGTGTTGCAACTCAGTACTTCTGAAGTTTGATCCTCACCGCGCATATCATCTCGTAACCACTGGAGATAAATCCGCCATCCAAACCAAACAGAAACACTGAGATGTAACTTAACGTGCAACCCAGTAGAACAGAGTTGTTCAGATTAGGACTGGACATCTTGATGAACCTTTTGTGTAAATCAAACACAGGTTATGATTAAGTTTAACAACAGTGAGATGTAAAAAAATATCGCCACAATTCTAAGCTGCATCGAGTTCGGCTATGTTTCTTAAGTCTATTACGGTACCCGGATGAATTATTATCAAAATACACATTAGAGAAAGGGATTCTAGCCCCCCCTCTCTCCACCCCAAAACCTGGCAAAGCTCCTTTCCCTTTCCTGCGTTTCAGTGTCGACATAATTGAAAGTGGCTGCATCAAACCATCTTGGTAAAATGATCACTGTTTCATCAGAAATTCTCTTTGCGAGAGGACACGACTGCTTGCCTCCTCATTGTCAAACTTGGAGCGCAGAAAAACTGGACGCTGCTAAGATGGCAATCAGGTTTGGCTCTGCCGCTGAACAACGTAAAAATATTTATGCAACCCTGAGTAAGAGTATACACTTGGCTCCGTGTACGGTATCCCCCCCTTCCCGTCTTATCTTTCAAAACGCTGCGCCGCCTCTGTGATTCGCGTGGATCCCGAGCATCATTTCATACCTGACATTTCTCTTAGTAATGTTAAACCACAAAAAGAACAGAGAGATGATTATAGCCAGTGACGTTAGTACCGCCATAAATGTAAACAGTGGAACAGATACTGACATCAACTCATACACCAGCTTGGTTTTGTCCCTTGGGGGCGATCCTCCTATTACGTAACACCATTAAGACAGGTAAGTGTTGTATCAACAAAACATTGGAGTTCAAGATTGTAGTTTGAATT